AAACAAGTCTGAAGGGGACCATAGTGTGAAAATGTTGAGTAACAACACCGGTCTAGAGAATACAAAAACAATTTGGGAAAGTGCAGGGAAGGATAGAAATGTGCTGAGTTGGGCTGTTGGGTCATGTTGAGTTTGTTGCTTCTTGTGGCGCTGCACTGGCATCTAAATCAGTGGCCCTAACATAAACATATTTCTGTACAATTATCCACATGATTGCTAGTAGAAACACTTTATAATAAGCCAAAATACATTTTACACAGCAAAGAAGTTCCAGTATTTCCTTCGCATGATTTAATGGGCTGTATCTCATTTTATTATGCACACCCCACTTTGAGGACCACTGTTCCATGGCTGTAGAATTGTGTTGTGCAGCCCTTCTGAGCCCATTTACTTCACTGTAAAGAGATCACATTCCTTACAGAAACCATGAGATTTGCACGAGGTGAAAGTTACATCCTGATAGCAGCATAAAGACGGCACCAGGGTCATAAGCTGTCCTTACCGACCACTCTACCTGTACCCACACCTCCTATCCTAGCCATTTCCTCCAGATTAGAGTAACAGAAGACCAGGATATCTGCACGATCAATCTGGAGGTGCATTTACAAGGTAGCTGGGAGCTGACAGCAGAGGTGAGTAAGCACTTCCTTTCATGGGCACCTGCTTGCATCCCGTCCCCACCAGCAGTACAGATTTACTGGTGACAACCGCTTCTGTCTAGGCTGAGAAAGGAGCATCTCTCTCAACAGATATGCACACACACAGAACCCAGTAAGACAAGGGACTGCTCACCTGTAGTTTGCTCTAAGCAGTTTTCAAGCAAATTTTCAAGTTTTAAAAAAAGTATGATTTATTCTGAAGCATACAATATTCCAACACTAATCCTACCACCGTCAATTTCCCGCCATCAGTGTTCCCGGGCTCCCTCCCAGTCCCCCCACACCCACCCTCACAAGCCACTTTGAGAGGTACATTTCAAAGTTCAGTGGTTGCAGTTTAAATCTTGTTTCCAGTGTTGTTGAGTCTGCACTTTAGATATATAAGTATGCCACTTTCCCACATCGCAGGTATACCGGAGGCCCCCGACTTCATTACTTCCATTTCTTCCCCTTCTCATCTTCTTCCTCACCTCACCCCATCTTTTCTTCCGTTCTCTGTCCTTTTCTCTAGACTCTATGGTCAAGGGTGATCTAGGAATCCCCCCTTTACATTTCCTCATCCAGTTATTCTTTAGACCACAGGTGAATTCATCTTGTGTTTCTCCTCCTCCTAGCTGCACTCAACACTGTCTCTTCCAGGTTGCAGCAAATTGTAGAGTTCGTCATTCCTTGCAGCTATGTAATATTCCATTATGTATATATACTGCATCTTCATAATCCATTCAACTGCTGTTGGACCACAAGACTAATTCCGTATGTTAGTTATTTTACTAAGTGCTTCAATAACAGTGTTCAGATGTCCTTCGGAACGAATGTCTTGGGGGTAAATGCTCAAAAGTGGAATTGCTGGGCCCCAACGAGACCCAAAGTTGCCGCCCACGAACGGCTCTTCCAGCTCCTGAACGGCCATGATCCCAGCGGCACGCAAACCAATCTTGGAACCCAATGACTTCTGGCAGAAATGCTTCTGGACTGTGAATTAAGCTATGGCCCTGTGCCACCCCGGATGGGAAAGGGCATTGTCCCTTCCACCTTTTCCCCTCAGTGGCAGCATGGTGACCACCACCTTTCAGAGTCTATTGGACAGAGAGGTACAAGCCTGCAGTGACGAGACATGCCGGGTCTCATGGGATGGGGGCCAGAACTGACCCTTCTCTCTGCCTCGACAAGACCCCAAGTTTTTGCCCACGCATGGCTTCTCCGGCTCCTGAATGGCCATGATTCCAGAGGCACACAAACCAATCTCGGAACCCAGTGGCTTCTGGCAGAAATCCCTCCGGACTTAATTACTAAAAACATCAGAAATCCAAAAGCATATGCTCTTCATTATCAGCAACAGAAAACAAATTATCTAATGATGCCTTTTCAGCAGGTCTGATTGTTGGGGGGAAATTTCAAATAACAATGGTAGGTCTTCTGATGAAAAATTGAATGTAATCGAAGTAGAGAGTCAAGTGGAAATCATCTGCCACACAAGCAAGGGGAGGGATGAGATGAGGGGTATACTGGGGTTCTTGGTGGTGGAAAATGTGCACTGGTGAAGGGATGGGTGTTTGATCATTGTATAACCAAGACTTAAACTTGAAAGTTTTGTAACTGTTCTCATGATGATTCAATTAAAAAAAAATCAAACATTAAAAAAACAAAATAAGTGGTACTGCTGGATAATAATGGCATCTCAATTCTAAGTTTATAGAGAACTGCTTTCCACTGGGGCTGGACCAGACATTCTCAGCAGAAGTGAATGAGAATTCCTTTTTTTTTTACCACATCCCTGCCAACAGATTTTTCCCACTATTTTTGATACATGTCATTCTCATTGGTGAGAGACCTCACAGTCCTCTTGATTTGGATTTCCTTAATGGTAAGTGATGCTGAGCAAATTTTTCTCAGAGAAACTTCAAAAGAATGGCAATACTTTAGTGTGTTCAAAGTTCACAGGAATGGAGGAATGGATGCAATAAAGATTTCAACTCACCAAATTCCCACGCTTAAGAAACCTCAATCTAACCTGTGTTGATTCTGGAGGGCAAAAGCTCACAGCTCAAGCTCCCTCCCAGCACCAACAGAATTGGATCATTCATACTCTGAAGCTGCCAAGGGAAGTTCCTGACAGCAGGTGCATCTCGATGATGAATTAACTTGCCCTGACTGCAAGGAGAAGCAATGAGAAGCTGATCCAAATTCCCAACTCCCAACAAAGGGGGGGGGGGGGGGGAATGGTACTAAAAGACAGGACAAAAGATTAGTAGCACCTCCTCTCTGTATAACAGTACATTTCTGTGTACTTTGGAGATTAGAACTTGGAATTCATTACTCTGCCTAGTAAATATAAAAAACGATCCAGAGAAGGCAAGAACGCAGAGGTAAACACATTAAGCGCCGCTTTCATCATTCTCTCTAGAACAAACTTCTGCTTATCGTTCACACCCTAAAAACAGCATCCAAACAAGTATGGTTTGTGGTCCTTTCTGAAACAATGATTCAGCTAGATAAAGACAGGGTGATGGTAAAAAGCTAGAGGCAGGTCTATTACTCGCGTAATGCAATACCGCCCCCTAGCAACCCATAAGAGAAATGACACTAATAAATAAGTATTTTTGGAATATTAAAGCTTTGCCCTGGTTCACTGTGGAAGTTATAGGTAACAAAGGGAAGGACAAAGAATTCTCACAATTTCACAACAGACCACCTTAACAGAAAAGGCGTGTACTCCCTCCCATCTGAAGCAGAATTCTCTCGAAATGCTTTTTTCTCTTTCCTCATATTCCCTACATAAAAAAACGTTTTTTAACAATCAAGTATTCTTGAAAGATGCTAGAACAAACACAATCCAAACCAACCGGGCCATTCCAGGTCATCCCAGTCGGCCTGTAGACAGCAAAGGTAATCCCCAATCCTGTTGGTTGGAATAGGTAGGTGACATGTAGATCTCTGGGCAGAGCCAGAGCCATCTTCTGTTGCTTGAAAATCTCTCTCTTCTACCCTGAATTCTTCCTTTTCAATTTTTAAAAAGGAGGGGAGATCAAAAACTTGTCCTACTAGATATTGCTCATAAGCAATCTCTTTAATATTACTTTAAATGTTAGCTTTTCCCCTAAGATATGAAGGGATTAGAGTATGGTTATATTCTGATTAAAGAATTACTAACCTTGAAACCGGAATCAAACACATTTTAGTTGGATTAATGGGGCTGGAGCGATAGCACAGTGGCAGGGCGTTTGCCTTGCACGCAGCCAACATGGCCGACCCGAGTTCGATTCCTCCGCCCCTCGGAGAGCCCGGCAAGCTACCGAGAGAATCTCGCCCGTATGGCAGAGCCTGGCAAGCCGCCCGTGATGTATTCGATATGCCAGACACAGTAACAACAAAGTCTCCAATGGAGACGTTACTGGGCCCGCTAGAGCAAATTGACGAACAATGGGAGGGCCTTTACCTTTACCTTATGGATATATCAGAAGTAGCTATTGGTGACACAAACGTATCAGGTCTTCACATGCTCCCTCCCTTCCACATAATCATGACCATTCAAAGTACTGAAATCTGGGGCTAGAGGCACATGCTATGCAGGCACAGTGAAGCCCCATGTGAAGCTGTAGCACTTCAGGGCCCCCAGCATCACCAGGTATAGCACCAGAGGGTCCCAAGCACCAAGTGTGAACCTGTTGGTCCCCCAAATACTGCAGAACCTGTGCAGCATTGCATCCCCGCAACCTAGCACAGAACCATCTGGCCCGAACTGGCAGAGCAATGCCCCTGGAGCACTGTGAATCCCACCTCCCCATCCTACTCTTCAAAGATGTACAAAATCCAGAAAAGACCTTTCATTTAAATAAACACTTTATTTCATTTTATGAGATAGCACAACTGCCTGTCAGAGAGCCCGGCAAGCTACCAAAAGTATCCCGCTCACACAGGCAGAGCCTGGCAAGCTTTCTGTGGCGTATTCGCTATGTCAAACTCAGTAACGACAACAGGTCTCATTCCCCTGACCCCGAAAGAGCCTCCAATTGTTGGAAGACGAGTAAGAAGAGGCTACTAAATCTCAGGGCTGGAATAGACGTTACTGGCGCCTGCTCGAGTAATTCCATAATCAACGGGATGACAGTGATACAGTGATGAGCTAGCACCATGACTCTTTTATCAATGACTTCCACCAGAACTCTTGGCTGATACTTTGAAACATGGGGAATTGTTAAGGTCAAAGCTGGTTATAAAATATCTACCCTATATTGTATTTAGTTATAGCCAGATTCTTCTATCACGTTTATTATTAAATGTATCCAAGTTGTACAAGTAGGCAGACAAAGAACAATCACATACACTTGTTTTCAAACAGAAGTTATGTGTTTATTAACACAATTCTATTAAATAGGTATAACAGGACCAATAAATCATATTATACATTCTGTAAAATTTCTAAGATTTATCAGGATATTCTTTTCATGTGGCTCAGCTGAACCTGAAGAAAGAACAGAAGAAATGATACACTTGATTTCTGGCTACTGGTCATTAACAAATCATGTACTAGAACTGCAATTTAAATTATTTTCCTTAACTAAATTTCTACGCACACCCAGAATTTCTCCTCAATATCTATTAATCTTGAAGACCAAATGTCAACTGTGATAAAAAGAACTGAAAAAAGCTCAACCCCAGAACTACCAACCATCTTATCGCAGGTCAAAGATCAAGTTACAGGACCAAAGTATGTCCTCTTATAAATTTGAACACAAATGTAATGATCATTATTTGCATTAAATGGGTTTGTGACAATTCACGATTAAGCTACTGGACAAGCCACATAAAAATCTTTCAAGAAATATCTGCAAAATAAGAGGGCTCATGCAAGTTGTGAAGAGACTTACTCTTCCTGCAAAGTATATTCTCCTTGTGTATTAAATGATTACATTCTGAAGATCATTACTGAACTCATTATTAGAGATGTAACGTCAGAGAAAAATAGCCAGATTGCTGAGATACAGGCTAAGAAATTCCCCAGAGTTCAAGTACAACTAGATTCTTTCTGATCTACTCTTGCATTCCACTACTCTCCATAAAGATACAATAGGTGCAGTGAACAGTAGCAGTTCTGCTAACTCAGCAAGGTAACTCTAAAATATGTAGAAGCAGTAATAAAAAAATTTCTTACTTCGAACAATTTCTCTAGAAGTCTGAATAATGGTGCAACCTGAAAAAGTAAAGAACAAATCATCTTAACGACTTTTTGATTGCTCAGAGTATTATCAGTCAGAAGATTAGAATCCCTTTGTCACCTGTGGTTGGTGGGAGCAAGCAGAGAAACTCTGTCCCTGGGTCCGCCGAGCTGCAGTCCAAGGTCTCAGAGAGTTCCGCTTATCCTGTTCTGTGGGTCTTCAGTCGTGCGTGAGTCTTGGCCGGAGCTGCCACGCGGGTCTGGAAAGCGTCCTGGAGTGTGGAGACGGCTGGGTAGTGGAGGTAGTGTCAATAGTAAAAGTGTGCCAGTGGGGTATTTATCTGGGTAGGGTGGGTCTTCTGTGTGCAATCCGATCCCTGGGTGGTTGATGAGCTAATTCGCCAGCATGGTTTGGCGCATGCCTCAGGCAACAGCAAGCTAACCTCCCAGCTCGCAAAGCAGTGCAGAGATGCGATCAAGGAAGACCTCAAAGAGAGAAGAGCAGAAGTACTGGTAGATGCGGCAGAAGCTGGGAAAAGTATTCGTTACGCCCGCCTGTCCTTTGCCAACTACAAGACCAAGATGACTGCCCTCCGACGTCCTGATGGATCCATCACATCCTCCAGAACGGCAATGGAGAAGATTATCCATGACTTCTACTCAAATCTCTTCGATAGCCATGTCCACTTGCCGACATACCAAATTCCACGGGATGGATATGTCGTTCCCAACGTTCTCCCTTCCGAAATCCGACACGCCATTTCGTTGGTAAAGAAACAAACAGCACCTGGCCCAGCACCAAGGTCAGACCTGAACACCTGAAGAACCTGCCATCAGTACTCATCAATACACTGGCTCGGCTCTTCACTCGCTACCTGTCTGAATGCAAGGTTCCGTCCCAATGGAAAACCAGCAGGACCGTACTACTGTTCAAGAAGGGAGACATCCATGACATTGGCAAATATCGCCCGATCTGCCTATTGTCTGTCATCTACAAGTTGTTCACTCGAGTCATCCTAAATAGGATTGGCAGAACATTAGATGAAGGACAATCATTCGAGCAAGCCGGGTTCCGCAAAGAATTCAGCACCATTGACCATATCAACACAATAACCAAACTCATTGAGGTTTCTCGGGAGTTCAAGATGCCGCTCTGTTTAACGTTCATTGATTTAAAAAAGGCCTTTGATTCTGTTGAGACGGAAGCGGTCATTGAAGCCCTAGCCAATCAGGGCATTCAAGCCCAATACAGCAAGATCCTCCGTGAGCTGTATTGCAGATTCACTACCAGGATCTCACCATTCTACAAAGAAGTGATCGTTGATGTCAAGAGAGGGGTTCGGCAGGGTGATACCATTTCACCGAAACTCTTCAGTGCCACCCTCGAGAACATCATGCGACGACTGGAATGGGAAGGAATGGGAGTGAAGATAGATGGTCGGCAATTACACCACCTCCACTTTGCTGATGACATTGTTTTAATAACACCAAACATCAGCCAAGCGTCACAAATGCTGGCCGACTTTGACCGTGAGTGTGGAAAGGTAGGACTACAGTTGAATCTTACGAAGACAATGTTTATGAGAAACAGCCTCGTTCCTGACGCCCCATTCACTCTCAATGGAACGACCATTTCTGAATGCAACAGCTATGTGTACCTAGGTCGAGAAGTCAACATGACAAATGACCAGGCACCCGAGCTGCACAGGAGGAAGAGAGCGGCTTGGAACGCCTTCAAGAACGTCGAAGAAATAGCTAAGAGGACGAAGAACCTCCAGCTCCGGGCACATCTCTTTGATTCCACTGTTCTTCCTACATTAACATATGCCTCAGAGACCTGGGCCCTGCGCAAACAGGATGAGAACGCTATTCAGGTCTCCCAAAGAAGAATTGAAAGAGCTATGCTTGGAATATCACGTTTAACTCAAATGAGAGAAAAAATTCGGAGTTCCGACATCCGTCGACGATCAAGAATCAGGGACGCTGTCTCATTTGCCAAGGTATCAAAAATCAGATGGGCTGGTCACGTAATGAGATTTAAAGATGACCGGTGGACTAGAGCTGTTACCGACTGGATTCCACGGGATGTCAAAAGACCGCGTGGCCGCCCACCTACCAGATGGTCAGACTTCTTTGTGAAGATCATGAATGATCGGTTTGAGGCTCTTCATGTTCCCAGAGCGAACAGATGCCATTGGGCTACACTAGCATGCGACAGGGACAAATGGAGACGTTACTGGTGCCCGCTCGAACAAATCGACGACTAACGGGAAGTTAAGTGATTAAGCGATTATCAATCAGATCACAGAACAGCACTTAGGAAGATTTTCGAAGGGAAAAATGCAATCAATCATTCTCAGCAGGCAGTCAGGTTAAGGCTCCACAATCTGACATTCTGTAGGATTCTAATGCTAATAACTCAGATTTCAGGGGAAAAGTATCAAATTTGGGAGCCTATAAAATACCCTATCAACCATACCTAATAGAAATGTTGTCATTTTACTCTGGTGAAAACTCCAATGCCCTTTAAGGCTTACTTTAAAAAAAAAAATCCAGTTATAATAATGATGCAAAGCTTTGCAAGAGAATTTCTAAGTACAGTACAAGCTTGCATCCTTTTATATATTCTGAACTCAATCACTCCAATAGTGATCTGAAAATAAAATGATAAAATTATCAATTTTCCTGGTAAAATCCATTTTCCTTTCAAAATAAAAAGAATTTAAAACCCCATCATTATTCTTTGCTACCTTCTCTTTACATAACGATCTACTCAAATTCCATTTACATCCCCCCTCCACTTACTTGCATCTCAGCATAGTTCAGAAGCAGGCATTCCCAGAAGCATACAAAAACAGGCTTCTATATAGCTTTCACTACAATGCTAGGGTGTACAACAGTTTGGGTCAGAGACAAAAAAGAAAGTTATAATGCTTGCCTGCACGCAAGAGGTCCTAGTTTGGTTCCCTATACACTGCCAGGAATGACCCTTGAACACTGTCAGGTGTACCCCTGAGACTGCCAAGTGTGACCCAAACCCCTTATTCCCCCTCAACCACCCCAAAAAGAGAAACACGCAGATCTCCATAAAGAGACATCTTGTTGTCTCTCATCTAGAGATGATATAATTAGGGTTGTCTGTTCCAGCTTCACAGACAAATATGCCTGGTACAGAAACAGGACTAGGATAGAGCATGCAAGTTTTCGGTAGGTTTGGGGCTGGAGCGATAGCGCAGCGGGTGGGGCGTTTGCCTTGCATGCAGCCAACATGACCCACAAAGGTTCGATTCCCGGCACCCTGAGCACCGCCAGGAACAATTCCTGAGTGCATGAGCCAGGAGTAACCCCTGAGCATCGCCGGGTGTGACCCCAAAAAAAAAAAAAAAGGTTTAGGTAGGTTTCACTGTAGTTAACATCATTATGTAATGTGAGGAGGCCTTTAGGGTCACAGCTGGGGGTGGTAGGGGCAACTAATAGCTTTGTGCCCATGATATAGTGCCTTAGTAAGTACCCTTAAAAAAATAATAATGCACTGACTGCACACAAGAATTCCAGCTGTAGCACAATATTATTTGGTAGGATTTAGTAAGTTACATAAATTTTTAGAAGGATCTGGGAACACTACTGCCATCCATTTATATAGCATTCCCAGAGTCAAAAAATAACATACAAAGTTAAGTCAAATTTCGGTAGCATGTGAAACCTGTACGTGAAAGTTCTCGTTAAAAAACTTTTAATAATTTTAATAATTACATGTGCTGATAGATATTAACCAAACTTAGTATGGTGATCAAATGAAACATATATACACATCAAATAATTATTTTGCATATCGAAAATTAACACTTTTCTATATTGATTGTAGTGTAATTTTAAAAAGCCACTACCACCCCCTCAAATTTTCCAGATTAACCTTTTCTCTGGTTGTGACATTTTATGGGAGAAAAATGCAATTTTGTTATAGAAGAACTATGAAAATCAAGTTAAGCTTCCTATAGGTAATCATTTATAATTAATAAATTGTAAATAATAAATTGTACATAACTGCAAAAATATCAGACTGGCATTTTTTCTCAAAAGAAATTAACAAATATTTCTTAATGTTAACACCTACCTATACAGTAGAGCCTTGCCCTTTTCATTCCCCATGGCAAAATACCCACTTCTGGGAGAAAAATCCATGGTATGAACAAGAGAAATAGTCTTCTTTTTCACAACTGGAAAGTTTGAAAATACTGTACAGGAAGGAAGGTGAACCTGGAAGGAGATATTAAGAGGCTTTAAACTAAAGTAACTGGGAACTCCTTTCTTAAATTTTAATCTTTGTGCTGGAATTAAACTGTTCATTTTGATTATAGTGCACACAAAACACAATTCTCTTATTGTAGCAAAGTGTTCCAAAATTTGATTTTCAATGTATTCTTAATTAAGACAGAGGGAAGAGATCTGAACACAACATTCCACAGAACTCAGGGTCTACACCAAGTTCAATGCTTGGGGACCATGCAATGGCGAGAACTAAACCAGGGCCTTCTGCATGCAGAGCATGCACTCTAGCCTTTGGGTTATCTCCCTGGCCCCGTTTTCTTAATGTTGTTAATGCAGCGTAAGTTTTGCTAGTGCCTGTGAGACTCAAATGTTTGCTGAACAAATAAACTAAAGTGAAAAGTCAACAGTAATACCCATCAGTACCTAACTTAATGACTACAGTAAAGAATAGGAAAATTTGATCACAAGGAACACTTCAAACATGAGAATACTGATTTTATATAACTGAAGACTAAACAAAGTAATATCAATATCATAATTTCCTTTCTTCATTTTGTTTTTTCCACTATATCTACTCTTAGCTTTTTGCAATTGCTCCTCAAGATGGACAACCATGCAAACCGCTTAAGAGCCAAAAGTTCACCCGAAGCCAGGTCTAAGCATGAGGAGGAAATCACTTTCTACAAGACTATTCTGGAAAGCACGAGTCCAAGAACAAGACAAAATAGACAATACTCAAGGTGTGGATAAATAAAACCTAAGCATGATAACAGTTATCCTAAGCAGACTGGAATTTTAACTACTCCCATTTCAAAAAATGTTTCGCTCTTGCAAGAAATTTTATGTTTAAACCCACAGAGTTACCATTCAACTATGTATGTCTCGATTACCTGTCATCATCCATAATTTCAGATGAGATTTTATATGTTTACAAACTTAATTCGGTCTACTCCCTTTTCAGAAAACAAAAACAAACAAAAAAACCAGTGACACCCCACCCCAATGTACTGTATTTCACTGACCACACACTGAATACTAGGAGTCTTCCTAATAAATCAACAAGTTTAGTAATTTATACAAAGATTTGTCCATAGTTTTATGCCAGCAATTTGAATTGCAATCTCGTCACATAATTTTCAAGTTCAATCTATTTTCAAAACCTAAGAATCACCTCCACTCATTCGTTACTCATTAAGGAGCCCTAAAAAAAGTCGAAAGACAACCACAAAGAAATTAAGTGTCTGACTTAAACATATTTCTTTATGCATATGCTGAAAAACTGAAAACAAAGGCTGCTTTAAAAATGTTAAGATCAGACAACACAGCTTTCCCAAAAGAACTGACTAATTTAGTGGCTATTGTATCTCATTTCTACAATAACCTCAAGAAGCTGTAATACAAATAACTCTACATCAAAAAAATAATACAACACTCATTATATTATTTTTCAACTTAGATTTAAAAACTATCAAGGATAAAAGAAAGGGCAAGGCAATGTTACCAATCTGACTGCTTCTTTCATTTTGTCCAAAGCAATTGCCAAGATTTCTGTAGCAGGATTAAAGGTCAGAGACGTAACACCTGTTACCAAGTTCATTATAGCTTTTATTGGCTTTGGGTTTGTTTCTTTGAGACAAGATTCTTGATTACAGACATTTACCACTCCACAATTAGAACTGCAAAGAGAAAAAAGTAGTACAAGAGATTAAAAGCAAGAAAAAAACTTTCACAAGATACGTGAATACATAGTCACTCCCACCAATTAATGAGTAACTGTAGTATCATGTTATATTACAAAGGAACCTGTGGGGCTGGAGAGATAGTATAGCCCAAAATACCACCAGGGATGGTCTGAAAAGTAAAAGAACTCCAAGGAAGCAGTGGCTGGAGAGCTAATCCCAGGATAAAACCCAAACATGTTTTACAGTTCTACCTCATGTTAATAACTCTAGGGTTTTTTTGTTGTGGAGATCGTAAGTTGTGGTATTCCCCACCAAACCCCTATCTCGGTACTTGGGGATCCGCTCCTTGTGGTGTTCCATGGACCATGCAGTACAGGGTATCCAGCACCTGCCCACCCCGTTATCTCTCCAGCCTTCCCTCTTGTTACTTCCAGCTGTCTTTCAATTGCAAGTAGAAACTAGAAAATCCAAGAAAACACTGAATCATTGTTACTCATTCCTTCAATATTAATTGTCTATTTCATGCCAAAGATGCAAAGGTGAACAAAGACATCAATAAGTGCCAGCCTTGGCATTTGTACCCAATCTAGCATTCCAATGTGTGAATAATGAAAGCTAAATTTCCTCTATTGCTTCTTTTTTAATTCTATTATATTGTGAGAAAATCAAAATTAGTGCCAAACAATCGCCGTGACAGAAATCTTAAGTTTTGAAACTATATTCGGCTGGGAATACTTGTAGTTCAAGTGATTAAGTTAAGTGATTATTCACTCTAACTTCACTGAAATGTTAACCAGCAGTGAATATATACCCAAATGCATATAAAGAGTAATCTTCAGAGGTACAGGAGGTAACACATTTGCCTCACATGTGTTTGGCCCCAGCTCATACAGGACACTGTATATGAGGAACCAAGCACTACTAGGGGGTCATTCCTGAGCAGAGAGCCAGGAATAGGTCCTGAGTGCTGCCAGGTATAGCCCCAAAATAGGAAAAACAAAACAGCAAATATTTAAAAAGTCAATCTCGGAGCTGGAGTGATAGTACAGTGGGTAGGGCGTTTGCCTTGCACGCGGCCAACCCAGGTTCAATTCCCAGCATCACATATGGTCCCCCGAGCACCGCCAGGATTTAATTCCTGAGTGCAGAGCCAGGAGTGACCCTGTGCATTGCCGGGTGTGAGGCCCCCCCCCAAAAAAGTAAATCTCAATGATCTTAGCATTGTCATTATTATTCAGATTCATGATTAGACCATGATTAATAAACAACAAGTCCTTGTAACCCCATACTTAACTTGCAAATGCATTGTAACCTGAAATGGTGACAAGTATCCCATTAAGTGTACTCTCATTCCTACTACTCAAACATACTCTTTTAATTACTTACGATGGCCTATAAGGATCCAAAAATAATTTACATAATACAAGACCTATTCAGCTCACATGAAAAGATTATATAGTTGAAAGATTATATAGTGGAAATTTTAGCTAACAAAAATAGTATGTTAGAATTAAATATTTACTGCTTTAGTATATTTTTAATTTATTCACACATACTTCTCCATTTGACTCAAAGAACACTTTAACAAGAGCTAAAAATGACTGGAAGGGAGGAGTTCAGTCAGTCGGCTACAGGGCTCGACCACCAAAAACCATCTTCCTGATATGCCTATAACATCTGAAATTTCTCTAACAATCATTGACATTTATTTATGAGTTTAATAAGAGAAATCCAGTATATCCTTTGAACAAGCATTATCAGAATCCAATAAGTCAAAGGGTACTTCAAATCAAAGTAGATTCTTTCCGTTGTGGGCCTTTCAAAGAGTACAAAGCGACTAGAAAAAAAAAAAAAAGGCCAAAGCCAAAAAAATTATTAACTTCACAAATTTGTGGGAGTTAATTTTTATTCTTGCTCCAGAGAGAGGCAAACTAGTTATATTTAAAATTCCTGAAAATTAGGGGCTGGAGAAAGAGTACAGCAGTTGGGAGCTTGCCTTGCATGCAGATGACCATTCCAAATGGGTCCCCAACCACCACCAGGAGTAATTCCTGAGTGCAGAGTCAGGAGTAAGCCCTGAGCATCACCAGGCATGGCCCCAAAACAAAAGAAAACAAAACAAAACACATTTCCTAAAAATTAATCACTGTAGAAGAACAAAGCTATTCCCAGAAAACCTGCTAATCACAAATTGCTGCCACGGTTGTGAGGCACATGTTATACTTGGTATCACAGCCAAATTCCACAGCAAATTCTACCTTTTCATTTTTCCGGATCCCAAGGTGATGGGGACCAGAAGCCTCAGTAGGCGCTATTCACCTAAGGAACCTCTCTGAGAAAGAATTCAGATATGAAGTCATGAAGATGTTCAATGAATTCAATGAAACAGTCAGATATCCAGTAAATTGAAAGAGGACATGAAAGAAACAATGGATCGCACAATCGAGAACATACATAAAGAAATGAGAGCAGAAATTGGAAAGCTACCCAAGGTGATGGGGAGAGACATTCAGATGCAGCTGCCGCAATTTTAACCTCGAAGAAATGAACACTGTGATAGAAGAGTGGGAAGTGTGCCATATTTCACAATAAGACCCATCTGACTTACCATTCATGGAAAAGTTAACTGAATTTTCTTTATGGATCAACTGTATTTTGTCATAAAAATCCACTCAGGAAGTTTTGAAAAGAAAAGTGCCAACACAACACTTAGCAGGTCTGACAGCTTACAATCATATTTTAAGTATCCAATGTCTCCTCCTACCCATCTTGAGACTAAGGTAGGAGAATAAAGCCATCTTTTTTCCAAGGGCACAAATCATTTTTCTATGCTTTTTATTTTTTGTGATAAAACAGTAATGTGTCTAGATAAAATGTTCAGTTTCTTTTTTTTTTTTGCTTTTTGGGTCACCACCCAGCAATGCTCAGGGGTTAGTCCTGGCTCTGTGCTCAGGAATTACTCCTGGAGGTGCTCGGGGGACCATATGGGATGCCAGGGATCGAACCCGGGTCGGCCGCGTGCAAGGCAATCACACTACCCACCGTGCTATCGCTCCGGCCCTAAATTTTCAAAGTTTCAGCAATACGATCAAACAGTATTTTTATGCAACATGTTTTGATATGTCCTACTTTGGACAAAGTGGCAGGCTACCGAATGTAGCCTGCCCACATGGCAGAGTCTGGCAAACTCCCCGTGGCGTACCCAATATGCCAAATACCAGTAACAATGATGGGTCTCATTCTCCTAAAGAGCCTTGAATATAATCTCAGGGCTAGGATGAAGGAGATGTTACTGGGGCCTTGCTCGAGGCAATCGACGAATAACAGGATGATTTGTGATTTTGTGATGTTTTGATATGTACCTAGCCAAGAGGGGAAAAATGCATCAAATAAGCCAGTGCTTTTGCTTAAAACCAAATTCTTTGGGTTTTACTTTTAATAAATTGGAAATAAAAAATTTATATACTCTGGCTACCACACAGATGTTTGTTAGGATAAAGTACATAGTAAACTATCTTAAGAACTGATAAATACTAAGTTAAAATAAATGTAAAAATGTTACACTATCATTATAAGGAATATTCTAGGTGATTCATGGCTACTTAAAAAAAAAACTGTTGGATATTAAAATAATGTGTGGGGTGGCAAGGTTTAGCCATCTTCTATGCCCTGCCCTCTATAAAATCACTTTTTATTTTTTATGGGAAGCCGTAACCAGTGGTGTTTTAGGGAACCATGCAGGGCTAGGGACAAGGACTTTGAATTATCTCCACTGTCCTAAAAATGAGTTTTAAACCCAAAGTTTAACTAAATCTGCTTCCTTATCAATGAGAAAGCAAAATAGTAATAGGAAATAGGAAAATACTGTGATCAAATGGGGATTTCAAAAGAAAAAACACGAGGACATAAGGTAATTCAGTATTTGCTGAAGAGCAGGCATTATCATTAAACACTACATTAAGTCAGATGTAGAATCAGACCTGTGCAGGGCCAGATAAATAGTACAGGGGTTAAGTTGTTTCACATGTAGCGACACAGCTCAATCCCCAGCCCTGATATAGCACCCCAGAGCACTGGCAGGTATGATCCCTCAAAATTAAAAAATAAAAACATACATATATTTTTTAAAAGGTCTGGTTTGGGGGCCAAAGAGACCATATGGAACTCAAAGAAGTTAAGGTACTTGCCTTGCATCCAGCCTTGTCTGAATTCTGAGCACTACACATGGTCCCCTGAGCACCACCAAGGAGCACTCCTAAGTAGAGAGTCAGGAATAGCTCCTGAACACCACAGGAGTGGCCCAAAAACTCCAATCCCCCTCTCCCAACGATAGAAGTATACCAACTTTATTACTGAATTGTTCATAAACAGAACTATTCAAGCACCATTCAATATCATCAACTCTTTGGAACTTTCTTATTTTATTAGCACAATGCAATTACAAGTTTTACAAGCCTCTCTTTACTTACCCACAAGCAACATACTGTCCATTCCTCGATGTAGCAATGCTCAATCCATAGAGACTGCCTTCATCAACAAATCTGTTAAGGCACTTTCTGGAGTTCACATCCCAAACATAAACTTCCCCATCCCCTGAAGGAAAGTCCAAACGGGTTTTGGTTAATTTTGGTTGTTTTTTTTGTGGGGGAAGGGGCGGACCGGGGGCTTTTTGGGTCACACCTGGTGATGTTCAGGGGTTACTCCTAGCTCTGCACTCTAAAATCACTCCTGGTAGTGCTCGGGGGACCAAATCAAATGGGATGCAGAGGATGGAACCCAGGTCAGCCATGTACAAGGCAAACATCCAACCCGCTGTACTATCACTTCAGCTTGGTTTGGTTAATCACGACACGACCATCCTGTCATTTGTCGATTGCCTCAAGCAGGCCCCAGTGACGTCTCCTTCATCCTAGCCCTGAGATTATATTCAAGGCTCTTTAGGAGAATGAGACCCATCATTGTTACTGGTATTTGGCATATTGGGTACGCCACGGGGAGTTTGCCAGACTTGGTTTGGTTAATTTTGTTTTAAACTTCAAAGGCAAATGAACTAACCATTCTAAGTCTAGTTTTACTAGCACAAGGTACTACCAATAAAGATCTACTATAAATACTCTATATTTATATTAGATCTAAAAAAATTGATCTAAAACATTTCTTACATAACTAGTCCTTAATAAACAGTATTTTTACAATAAGAATGGCTTGGGTTGAATTCTCAGGAAAACTTCCACTTCATGGAGATAAACCACAGGAGCAAAACTATGAAAATGCAGGCTGGAGAAATAGTCTGGGAGGGAAGGCACTTGCCGTGCATGCAGCCAATGCTGACTGGATGCTCAGCCTTGCATTATGATTCATCCCCACCCCAACACCATCACGAGTGACCCTGAGCAGAGCATAGCCACGAACACAGCAAGTGTAGTAAAGAAAAGTAGTTTTAAAACCAAAACAAAATACTTCCTTAGCACTGATCTCCCAACAACTATTAACAAATACCATTGTCTGTAGCACTGTCTTCCTGTTGTTCTGCTCGAGTGGGCCCAGTAACGTCTCCATTGTGAGACTTCTTGTTACTGTGTTTGGCATATCGAATACGTCATGAGCAGCTTGTCAGGCTTTTGCCATGCGGGTGAGATACTCTCGGTAGCTTGCCGGGCTCTCTGAGAGGAGCGGAGGAATCGAACGTGGGTTGGCCAGGCTGGCTACATGCAAGGCAAATGCCCTACCGCTGTGCTATCGCTCCAGCCCAGAGTTCCTAATATAATATACGCTTAAATGATGATCAGAAAAGGAGTAAGTCAAGAATGAACTGAGCCAAAACAGTTCATAATATAAATGCAGGGCAGGCGATGCGGTTCAATGGTAGAGTGCTTTGCATGGGTTTGCCTAGATTCAATCCCCACCACAGCACCAGAGGGTCCCCAAGTACCTCTAGAAGTGAATTCCAAGGACAGAATCAGAATCAAAGAGTAGCCCTCAGCAATGTCAGGTGTGGTCCCAGAACAAACAGAAAGACATTGTACAATTTATCTATCACCTACTAATTTAAATATAAGAAATGTATCACGCTAAGTGAAAGGAGTGAGAGAGGGACAGAATGACTGCACTCATTTGGAGAATATAAAATAACATAATATGAAACCAACATCCAACGACAGTAGACCCAAGGGCCAGGAATATTGTCCCATAGTTGGAAGCCTGTCTTGATGCAAGCTGTTACAACTTAAGAGACAGGACCCCCACGGGGAAGGACAAGCTGAACCGACCTGAGGACTTAGTCTGGGATTTACGGTAAAAGCCTTCCTTGCTCTCAGAGCCTAGAGAACTAAGTGTTGGGATCTTTGTAGCTTACTGTATTTATCCAAACAACTGCAAATATTATACAACTAGAGGGAAAGATAAAAGCAATGATAGACAGAATGTCTCCTTGAGTTAATCTCCCCAAGAGAATTGCATCTGCCAAATGTTTATCTATGTAAATGATCAATCACACTTATATCCTTACCCCCCTCAGATATTCTGCATTAAACGGGCCATTTTCACCATCAGGCTGTGGTCCCCCATTTCCCTCTCTCTCTGTCTGGGGTGGCCTGAGGAGTTGGGGAGGTAGGTGAGGGGCATCTGCACAGCACCCCCAATTTACTTTGTGAAATCACACAAATGGGCATCTAATTGCCAAAATCATCCTTGTTTTTTTCCTGTCACCTGCAACATGTGAAACTAATCACCATCCTCCCCATACGCACTACAATTTCTGAAAAAATTCTTTGCCTGTAGAAAGGTATCACCCCTCGTCTAAACAGCTCTGAAGTTCATCTTCCTTTATTCTTATTTCTCCAGTGAGAATTCAATGAATGTCACTGTTTCAAAATTTTGACAAAATTCCCCAAGCTGGAGTAGAAGTCGAGGTTAGACAGTAGCAAATTAAAAAACATAACAAAAAGTTTAGACAGTTAGGTTAGTCTGAAAAGAAAAAAAAAATCAAGATAGTAGAACAGGTAAGGTGCCTGTCTCACGGCTTGATCCCCAGCACCTCTATACAATCCTGAGCTCTGAGAGGAATGAGTCCTGAGCTCAGAGCCAGGAGGAGGAGTTAAGCACCAAGCACAACCAGGTGTGACCCCCAAAACCAAAATTAAATTTAAAAAGAAAAATTAACATATTAGCAAAGGCTCCTCCCTAACAAACAATATTTATGCTAATAAGCTATGCAAAGATTTTAGAACACTACTCACAGGAACATTACTCAAACATCATCCACCAAACAATGGCAGCCATTCTAAAATTATGAAGGCCCCAAGATCCCTCAGGAATGGAAGGAGAGTCAAAGAGCAAATGGGTTGTCCAAAAGGCAGAAGTGCAGCACAGCATAAGACAGAGCTCATCAGGGACGAGGAAGGTTGGTCAAAAATGCAAAACAGTGAGGAGATCTGGATTGTCTTCCATCAACAATGAAGAAAATTCACATTACCTACTCTAGTACCAAAAAAAAAGAGAAAAAAAAATTAAAGGGGGATCATGAAAAGAAACTAAAACTAGCACCTTTTAAGAGAGAAAATGAAAATTTTAAGACTGGGTCACCTTACAATAAACATTTTCAGGGTCGGAGATGCAGGCTGGAGATGTGTGAGGCCCTGGATTCAACCATGAAGCAAAAAAAAAAACAAATGAACCTGCACTTTTCCCCCAGCTTTCCCCAAAATCCATTAAAGGCCCTTCAGTACCGACAGCGAAAATGACAAAAATGAACTCTACAAATGAAATTTATTTTTTACTTAAAAAAAAAAATCAAACAGTTATCATCCACATCTAAAGCATCAAAAACTTTTTATCACCATGTCATTAACTTACCAGAAGATGCATATATTTTCTTACTATCTGAAGAAAATGTGGATGCTGCAACCCTCCCGTTGATTTTCATGCTACCAGTCAATTCTTTAGTCTGGAAGAAATGTGTTATTTATCAAATTCATAAGGAGGTAAATGAACAAATCAAACTGTGTGGAATGACTTTCTAAAAAATTCGAGCTCTTATTTGTTGTTCCTGTATTTGCTTTCCCCAATATTCCAAGGTGTCACCCAACTGCCCACAGCTTCTGCCCAAGTTCGGCTACGCTTCTCTACTAGACATGCAGACTGAAGGACCAGAAACTATGGCTCAAGACATGAGTATCTTATCCTCAAAGAACAAGCCAACCACTAAGAATGAGTTATACCTTCATTGACAGCAAATGCAAATATCCCGCAACACCATTTATGAGCAAGAAGGTCCCATCTGGGGCAACTTCGAAACTCCTTATTATCTTCTCTTTCAAACCTAAGAAAGGAGATCAATCAATGATATAAAATAAGTATTTTTTCAAAAACTTAAAAAAAAATCAACAATTAAGGGTTTCTGATCCCCGGAGTTATTGAAATGCATTCAAATTAAACAAAACCAACGTTAGACTCAACCAGCATGACCACATGCATGACTGAATAAGCACCCAGATACAAAGTGCTTAGCCAATTTCTCTTTTACTCCGAAATTACCAATGTAACTGCAGGTGAGAGATTCAGTTCAACCCTACTGCGTGGGACCTGTGCAAACACAGCGAGTGTGCCTACAACAGAGACAAAGTGCCAAAGGACTCCTTCCTGACACAGCCAACCCCCTCTCCCTGTCTGCAGGTGGGTCAATGTCTTTAACTTTAGCCTTAAGTAAATTTAATGTTTGGAGACAACTTAGGAGCACTCAGGGGGTCACATACTCTTGGTTGTGGAGCACACTGGTGGTGCTGGAGTCCTACCCAGAAATGCAATGAAGAGTAACAAGCGACGTGGGCAATGCCCAGGATGAAAATCTCAGGTTCAAGCATGCATGTCTGGGGCTCTCCCACTGAACTACATCCTTGGACATTAGCGGTAAACAATGACAGAAGACAGGACGGTACTCAGAGCATACCATGACCAAAATAAACACGTCTAACTCATAGTTACTATTATAATCAATATCATTATTACTTGGCTATTCTTACTGAGTAAAGAGTAAATGCTGAGGGTAAAAGGATAAATGCAATCTCTTAAGATGCCAGTGATGGGACAAACAACCTGAACAGCAGCCGGTCCAGGTCTTGTTTATCATAATTAAGAAAGTATCAAGATTATTATCTTGACCATGGCTTGCTTCTCCAAGGTCCATGCCATGGTCAGATAAAACCAGCAATTACTATATAGTGCTGATATAGGAAAATTTCTCTTGATATAAGGAAATGCTTTAAAGTTTCACAACTCAAAGTGAGGTTCCTCTGCAAAACCATATCACCTGAGCTGCTAGAACCACCATCATCAGACTTACAGAACCAGAATTTGCACTTTAACAAGCTCCCGGGGTGATTCATAAAAACGTTAGTAGAGGAAAAGCATCAAGTATGATTACATAAAGAGATTAATCAATTTGGAAAGAATTACAAAATGTGTCAGAGAACATAGGAAAGAGAAGAGTGGTAACATTAAAAATATACATTATGGGGGGCTGGAACAATAGCACAGCGGGTAGGGCATTTTCCTTGCACGCGGCCAATCCGGGTTCGATTCCCAGAATCCCATATGGTCCCCTGAGCACCACCAGGAGTAATTCCTGAGTTCAGAGCCAGGAGTAACCCCTGTGCATCATCAGGTGTGACCCAAAACGAAAAAAAAAAGAAAAAGAAAAAGAAAATAAAGAATATGAATGTTAACAAAGCTGAAAGTTGGCCTTATTTCTTCCAACCACTAGTAAAAATAAGGCTGTACAAAATCCTTTACAGCCCCACACATGTGCAACTGGGCTGCCAGTGAGCTATAGTATATGCCACCACCTCCTAAGATTTATAACATCAACCAAGCAAACCTCATTACAAGGCTTTGGTTCCCAGAGGATTCATGAAGGTGTCACTGTATTTTGTCACAGTAGGACCAGGGGAATGCAAGAGAAGAATGGGCATAGCAGAGGAAAGATATTACTTCACCTGACAAAAAGTATACTTAGAAAGTAGTTCATTCTTTAAAATATATCACAATCCCCAAAAGCAATGCTTTATTTCCTTTAATGTTAAAGGTAAAGGTAAAGGCCCTCCCGTTGATCGTCGATTTGCTCGAGCGGGCCCAGTAACGTCTCCATTGGAGACTTGGTTGTTACTGTGTTTGGCATATCGAATACTCTTGGTAGCTTGCCGGGCTCGCCAAGAATCGAACTCGGGTCGGCCATGTTGGCCGCTTGTAAGGCGAACGCCCTACCCGCTGTGCTATGTAAACCAAATTTCTATTATAAGCAGCACTGGTGGGAGGTATCCTTATTACATCATAAACATCAGAAAGATGAAAATAATTTTTTCAAGAAAGTATAACCTAGGTTTTCTAGCTTCCATGATCAGGCTCCTTCTACTGCATCAAATGCTAATAACTTTTCAGATATTTTGTTTTGCATCTCCTTTTTTTGATTGTGGGGGTGGAAGGCATTTCCAAATTATGATTTTCTCATAGTTGAGTATTCAATAAAATCAATTACCTATTTTCATTCAAATACATTTCAACACAAGATTTACAAATAATGTAAGCTATTCTTAAGAATCCTATGGGGAAGGGGGAACAAGCAGTTATAAAAACTGTTTAATGAACTAAACTGTGGGCTTGGAAGGAGAAGGGAGGGCAACAATCAGTTGTGTGTTCACTAAAAACCTACCTCTCACTTGATGCACAGGAATTAGCTTTCCAGCCAGCATATCATAGACATAAAGAACCTTGCTATGGGTACTCGTAGCCAGAACCTCTTCTCCATTAGCACTAAAACAAGCCTTAAAGATCGGAAACTTTTCCCAATAGATGCTCTGGATTTTAGGATTCGTTTTGCCGTCAACCTGTAAGGCAGTACAAAATGTTCCTGTTGGTTACTTCCACAGACCCTGTATCCTGATGGTAAACATTCTTCACTACAGGTCTTCATTCAAAATGCCTACCTGAAATAACGATACAGAGTTATCTAGTCCAGCAACCATCACAACTTGTGCACCTGGATGAAACTGCACAGATGGGATCCGAGCAGAAGTAGGACATTCAGCATTAGCAGGTTGGCAATTCTTCATCTAAGGAAAGACAAAGCTGTAATTTTATCAATTCCAATGAGCTAAACGCTCTTTTCTTAAAAGCATGAAACATTAAAAGCAGTTTACAATGCAAAACGAAGTGCAATGGACAGGCCACAGCTCTGCTACCACCACCTTCAGAATCATTTTGTAAGAACTAATTTTTAATCAGCTGTGGAGAAAGTACATTGGGTGGGGCACTTGCCTTGTTTCCGGCTGACCCTAAGTAAAGTAAGTAAAGGCCCTCCCGTTGATCGTCGATTTGCTCGAGCGGGCCCAGTAACGTCTCCATTGGAGACTTTGTTGTTACTGTGTCTGGCATATCGAATACTCTCGGTAGCTTGCCGGGCTCTCCGAGAGGGGCGAAGGAATCGAACTCGGGTCGGCCATGTTGGCCGCGTGTAAGGCGAACGCCCTACCCGCTGTGCTATCGCTCCAGCCCCTATAGGGTTCAATTCTCAGCACAACATATGGTCCCTTGCGCCCTGCCAGAAAGTGCTCCTTGAGCAGAGAGCCAGGAGTAAGCCCTAAGCAAAGCCACGTGTGGCCCAAAAATAAAAAATGTGTTACCTTCTTTCAATTAAGGAAGACTAAATTCCTTACAGATTTTAGAGTGGTTTTTCAAAAATGTACAATTTTGGTAAGGAAGGACACTGAATTCCAGGGCAATTTTATTGCAAGTTTCTGCTTTCTGGCACCTTTGCACTCATGACACAAAGTAAGAGAGACTATGTGGTCGTCTCTATGGTTCTAAGGCTGCCATGCAAGGATAGAGAGGATGTTATTTTAAACTCAGTCCCTACATATCAAAAAAAGAACAGTTTAAAAAAAAAATACAGTGTTGGCCCAGATGTGGCGAAAATGGGACTCTCATTCACTAGTGGGAATGTCGACTGTTGCAGCCTTTTTGGGAAGACAATATGGACACTTGTCAGAAAACTAGGAATTGAGATTCCATGTGACCCAGCAATTCCACTTCTGAGCAACTACCCCCAAAGAACCAAAAACTCTATTCAGAAAAGACACGTGCACTCCTTTATTCATTGCATCACTATTCACAGTAGCCAAAATCTGCAAACGACCTAAGTGTCCATGAATAGATGACTAGATTTAAAAAAAAAATGGTACATATGCATAATGGAATACTTCAGCTGTAAAATGAAATTATGCAATTATCTACATGGATAAATCTGTAGAGTATCATGCTGAGTGAAGTTAGGAGGAGACGAACAGACACAGAATGACCTCTCTCATATGTAGGATATAAAGGAAATTAAGGGGTCAACAAAGGCAATAAATGGGTTAACAAAAACTCAAAGGTGGCAAAAACTAAGAACCTGTCTATAGTAAGGGAGGGAGAGAAGGTTGGGAAGAAGTAGTGGGACAGGAGGACAATGGTGGAAGAAGTGAGATACTCTGGTGAAGGGTGTGGTGCTGGAATGTGGTAAGCGAAATTCTATTCCTATTATCAACAGTATTGCAAACTCTGGTGCCTGAACTAATCGTCGATTTGCTCGAGCGGGCCCAGTAACGTCTCCATTGGAGACTTTGTTGTTACTGTGTCTGGCATATCGAATACTCTCGGTAGCTTGCCGGGCTCTAACTAATATTTTTTTAAAAAATGTAATTAAAAACATTAATGTGTTTAGTCTGTAGTCTACCTTCCACATGCTTCTCCCATCCTGGGGGGATCCTCCCAACACCTCTATTTGGTGTTCCCTTCTCTATCTGAGCTCCCTTGTCCTCTAGGATGTGTGGAATTGAAACCCAAGCACAAAAATGTGTAAGTCTACAACTGTACCTCATGATGTCTCACTATTAAAAATTTTTTAATAAAAAAAATATATATCTATTAATGTGGTGGCTAATTTTAAACATATTCACGATCCTTTGAATCTGTGGACTACTTTCTTATTTCCTTTTTATTTTTTGGTTTGGGGGACACACACAGCAGTGCTCAGGGGCTACTCCTGGCTTGGTGCTGGGGACTGAGCCAGGGTCAGAGGAATGAAGGTAAACTCCTTAGCCTCGTTACTGTCTGATCCCAGCTAGTTCTTTCCTTCCTCTCCGCCCCCCAAGTTTTCTCCCTGCACTAAAAATTCAACTGAACTACAAAGAGGTAGCTTAGTGGGACAATTCAAGTTTCATGTGTATGAGGTCCTGGGTTCCATCTCGAGCACCTGAACATGTTCATAGATGAATCAAAAAACAAAAATTTAATCATGCAAAAAGTATGTGTATTTTACTTGTAGTTAAATGTTTATGCTAACTACATTTTCAGCAGTAGTTAGCACATACATAAAGTCACCCTGTGCGGAGCTAAACGAGTCATCTTCATAAAGTGAGAGGGAGACAGAATACCTTCCCCCTACTGACTTGCTTAACAGCGTACCCTTCTCATCTACCACACAACAGTATTTTATAATGGGGAAAATATCTTTGTCAGACAGATCTTCCTTTTGACAGACAGACAGTGGAAGAATCCCACTGGAAAAGCGTTTGAAGAAGTTAGACACAGTGACAAATTAGAAAGTTAATTGCTGGAGACCACTTTAAATAGAATGGCCAGGAAAATTCTTTCCAAGGTATTACTTGAACAGAAAGGAAAGTACAAGGGATTTACAAAAACAAGTCTCAGAACATTTAAGAAACATAAAGAAGGACTTCCTAGCTAGAGTAGGAAATGAGACGTAAAAGATCTGAGGTAAAATTTTAGACACAGGCAAAAGCTGCATCTTAGCAACTATAATAAGGAATTCGGGAGTTTACAAAAAGAAAAAAGAAAAAAAAATCACATGACTTGACTTTTTAAAATTCTTCTTGCTATAAGAATACCTTAGGAAGAATGAAATCCAGTCATGAACTACTATAGTGTACTGGATGCGAATTTCATGAACGAGATTCAAAGTACAGAAAAACGCAAGAGGGGAAATCAAATACAATTCCTAACAGATAACTGAGAACATAATTTAATCTTTCTGATTATCTTTTCATTAAATATTTACCAAGGCTAAATGAGAGCAAACACACAAGCAATCCCACAGATAATACGAATTTAAACATATGAATTAACTAGGAAGCACACAGGCTTTCAGAGGTCCCCCGAGCACTGTCTGGGGTAATTCCTGAGAGCATGAGCCAGGACTAACCCTTGTGCATCGCTGGGTGTGACCCAGAAAAAAAAAAGTCCTTTCTGACTACATTAGCAGTTAAAACCTAACTGGTGTCCATTAGGAAATGTTTTTCTAAGGAGCGCATGTCAGGCTCAGGTTCAGTATAATTCTAAGCTGACTAGTGTTAAAAACCTGCTTTTTTCAATTCTCAAGTTTTAAGTTTGGCTTGTGTTGTAACCTTTTTTTTTTCTTATTTAGACCTGTAAATTGCATGATACCAAAACTCAGACACTCATTCCAACCAGTCAGAAGGAGAGTCTTTATTGAAGTGCCTCAGAACATTCAGTAAATACCCAGTCATACCTTAGTAATGATACTAATTCAGTCTAGAGTATGCTTCTTAGAACAAAGTTTACAAATAAGTCTTTTCTCTTCTAGCAGTGATTTCAGAGCAACTGCTAGTTCGGTGCTCATAGGAGCAGCCGTTTGGTGCCAGGAACAGAACTCAGGCAACTCTAGGGGGCAAGCATGCTTTCAGCCCTTTGAACTCACTCCTTGGCTCTACTAATTTGCTTAGGCAGGACAACAGTATCCTGAATATGAAGGAAAATGTCCGCAATCTTAGCTAATGCACAGTAAGAAATGGGAGTGCAGCATCACTGCGTCTCATCTTACTTTCAAACACATCAGGAAAACATCCCAACAGATAAAACAAGTAACAGATGTTTTTTAAAACTGTTTTACCAGTGCCAGGAACTGAACCAAGTGTCTCACATAAGCAAATCAAGCAACTGCCAAATCAAGAGAATAAATTCAATTAAACCCAAATACCAATTGTCTGTAGCTGCTATTTTTTATATTATAAAGTTAAGAAAATAAAACGGCTTACCATATGAAAGCGATCAAGCAAATTAGCTCTGATTTTATTTGGCTGATTGTATCATATGTTTTCCCTGAATTTTCTCTCTACTTATATTCCCTCTCCTTCCAAAGTATTGTAATTATTATTTCTTCCGATAGCAATGTTCTTACTGTTTCAAACTGGAAATCTCACTACCCAAAGATTAGGTAAATCGAGATGAACTACTGATAATAAATACCTTTTGGTAAATGTATTAGAAAGGATACTTACTCTTCTTTAAGTCGCTTTTGAAGCTTTTCCTTTGAAAGTTTACTCTCACTGGAATTTTTCATCAGGTTTTTCCGAAACCTATTGTTCATCATCTCAACCCTAAAAAAAAAAAGCATGTTTCAAACATAAATATATATATATATATTTTTTATTTATTTAGGCTCTGTGGGTCTCAACCAGCAATGCTCAGGGGGTTACTCCGGGAGGTGCTCAGGTATGGGACACGCTGCAGTATCACTCCGGCACCATATACGTAAATATCTTTTAAAAAATCAACAAATAGTTGCTGCCGCTAGTACTCTGAAGCATTTCACTGAGTACATTTAGGTCCTGATATTAAAGCGCGTAATAACTCACATGCATATTCTCCATTCCCCAACAACAGAAAGGAGGAGGAAAGCAGCTCACACTGAACCTGCTTCTGGGCTACTCCCAGTTCAGGCAATGCTAGATGCTTGGGGACCGACCCCATTGTGCCAGGAATCACACTAGTCAGGCTGAATGTCTGGAAAGTGACTTAATCCCTAGACTACCTCTCCAGCCAGAACCAGTTAACTAACTCTTCAAAAAGCTATTATTTCAAACTCAATACTATGAAAGTCAAATCTTAGAATATTATGATGAGGGGCTGGAGCGATAGCACAGCGGGTAGGGTGTCTGCCTTGCAAGCAGCCAACATGGCTGACCCGAGTTCGATTCCTCCACCCCTCTCGGAGAGCCCGGCAAGCTACCGAGAGTATTCGATATGCCGGACACAGTAACAACAAAGTCTCCAATGGAGACGTTACTGGGCCCGCTCGAGCAAATCGACGACCAACAGGAGGGCCTTTACCTTTACCTTTACCTTATGATGAGGGGCTAGAGCAGCAGTATGGCGCATAAGGATTGCCTTGCATGCTGCCAACACAGGCTGGATCTCCACCACAAATGGTCCCCCAAGCACTGCCGGGAGTGATCCCTTAGCGCAGAGCCAAAGTAAGTCCTGAACAATGCCAGGTGTGCATCACCCACCAAAAAAAAAAAAAAAAAATACTATGATGAAAATCCAGGAGGAAACATTTGTCTCTGATGAATCTTACTGTTTTGTTTTTGAGGCCACACCCAGCGATGCTCAAGGGTTACTCCTGGCTCCGCACTCAGGGATCATTCCTAGCGTTGCTTGAGGGATCACATTGAATTCCAGGGATTGAACCCAGGTGGGCTGCATGCAAGGCTAACACCCTACCCTCTGTACTATCACTTGGGCCCCAAATTCATTTTTTAAGTGGGGAAAAATGCTAATAGCACAAAATATTCTCATTCACTACGGTACATATTACATATTCTACCTTTCTTAAGCCTATGCACAATTCCAGACATTGTCCTATTTCGTCTCAAAGAAGAATTACATAAATTCATGTACTGCTATACAAATACCATTAATGGGACAGCACTGATAGTACAGTGTGCAGGGTGCTTGCTTTGCACACAAGTGACCCGGGAACAATATCCCTGGCACCTCATATGGACCCCAGAGCCCTGTCATGAGAGATCCCAGGGCTTGGAGCCAGTGGTGATAAGCCCTGAGCACTCCTAGTGTGTGGCCCCAAAACGAAAAGTAAAATACTGTTACATGTATTTTTTGGGGGAGGGGTCACACTTAGCAATGCTCAGGGGTTACTCCTGGCAGTGCTCAGGATGCGGGGATTGAACCCAGATGCGGGGATCTAACCCAGGTCAGCCTTGTGCAAGGCAAAAACCCTATCGGCTGTACCATCGCTCCATTTTATAAAGGGAAAAAGTACATTCTCTTGTCCATGGCCAGTTATGAGCTGACCAAATCAGGAGGCAAATTCAGGTCAGATATCAAACACAGTACCGTCTTTTTTCTTTTTTAAATAAAAGAGTATATTTTTTTCTTTAGATTTCTTTTACTTTACAGAAGGCCCACTATTACTTTTTTTTTGAACACAGTACTCTCTTAACTAGTCTCTTTAAGTATGAGAAAAAAAGACAAGGAGTAGCACATCAACATGCTAACAATGATTTTCTCTCTGCCATTTATGAATGGCTTTTCCTTTGTATACTCCTCAATGTGTGTGTGTTTTTTTTTTTTACAAAATCATGTTTGTAAAAAGAACCTAAAAAAAAAAAAAACTGCAATGGGGGGGAGGGGGGCTGCTTGTCACACCCAGCAGAACTTACTCCTGGGTCCATGCTCAGGGATAGATTCTCGAAGACTTAGAGATCACTCCTAGGGTGCAAAGGATCAACTCTATGTAGGACTCTGCAAGGTAACTGCCCTATATGCTATACTATCACTCTAACCCCATATGAAATAATTTTTAAAGCAGAGGGACTCCAGGGAGAAAAAATTAAGGCAACTAACATTTCCTCGTCTTCACCTTCCTCATCCACCCAAACTGGCTTCTTCTGAGGTGGAAAATTATCTTTTGCTTCATTCTCCACTTCTGAGTCATCAGAGTCCTTCCGAACTTGAACCTAGAAAAAAGAAAACCAAAACATCTTCAAGCATAAAGGCTTTTATATTTTATAGTCACAAACATAACACACTGAATTTTAACTTTTTTTTTTTTAAGCCCACTAATGAAATAATGGATGGACCGGTCAGGAGCCAATGCTAGAAACAAAATGAGATTGGAGCATGAATGGGACCTTCTCTAACCACCTGGTTAAAGGTGCATATGGGGTGATAGTACGGCAGACAGGGCATTTGCCTTGCATGCAGCCCACCGGGTTCGATTCCCAGCATCCCATATGGTCCCCTGAGCACCGCCAGGACTAATTCCTGAATGCAAATCCAGGAGTAATCCCTGAGCATTGCTGGGTGTGACACACACACACACACACACACACACACACACACAAAAGGTGCACATTCAAGGAAAAGAAAGTTAACAACGCCCAAAGTTAAAGACCCAGCAAGGCATAACAAGGGTTGATCACTTTATCTCACTGCTGGCTGGAGAAGCCTGTGTTCTCTCTTGAACCCATTTCCTCTGCCTCTCCTAAGCTACTTTCGTTCATTAAAAACCACCCGCGACACAAAGAAAAAGAAAAAAAAAAAACTAAAAACCTGTGAAAAGAAAATGGGAAAAATTCCAGATCTACTCAAAGCACAGGACCAGAGGCAGACTAGCACAGAAGACAAAATGACCTGATTAAATGTCAAACATGATACCTCCGATTGTTAGGAAAACCCTTTTTCCCATTTCCCTGCGCCAGGGATGCTTCTTTCTAGCCTTGCGGCTACCCCTAAGTCCTCAGGGCTTAGTCCTGATTCCGTGCTCAGGACTCACTCCTGAGAGTGCTCAGGGAACCGAACTCTGGTGGGGGGGAGGGGTGCAGAGGCGTGCGCCCTGCGCCCTGCACCCTTCCCTCTGGCACTCCGTTCCTGACCGTCCTGAGCCAACTACGAACACAACACGGACCCAGACCCAGAGCCCGGAGACGCACTCACGTGGGCGCGGGCTGCACCGACACACCACGGAACTCAGCAAACGACGTCCCCGCGCCCGGGACCGGCGTTTCCTCGGTGAGGTCCTGCCAAGGGCCCGGCGTGTGTGTGTGTGGGGGGGGGGAGGTGCCCGAAGGGGAAGGCGAGGCGCCTCCGTCCTCCTCCTCTCCTCCCGGTCCCCGCCGCGGGCGTGCTGCGCGAACGGCCACCCCCGCCCGGCCTCCGTTCTGAGCTCCCAGACGGTCCCGTGGGCCGCTGCCCGCGGCTGCGTCTCCCTCCGGCAGTGCCCGGAGGGTGGGTCGCAGCCGAGCAGAGGGGCGGCGCGGGGCTTCGGGTGCGGGGGCGGGGGGGGGTAGTGGGACGCGGCAAAGAAAAACCTAACGGAATAGCCGAGAGGTTTGTCTCCTCGCACCCAGGACAGGGCAGTCCGGGACACGACCCACCCCGCCCCCGCGAGGACACCCAGCGGCGCGCCCCAGGGACCGGCTGCCGAGCGAGCTCCGGGCGTCACGGTCAGACCCCGGGCGAGCGCCGACGACGCCCCGGCCGCACCCGCCAGACCCGGAGGGGGAAAGTGGGGGAGCGAGCGGCAGGCGGCGCGGCGCAGCGCGCGGGGCTCCGGGAGACGGGCGGCCCCGGGGTCTCGGGCTCGCGGCCCCCCAGCGCCCGCCCGCCCGCCCAGCGCGCCGCAGGTCGCCTAGGCTCCGCCCCCCGCGCGCCCCGCCCGAGCGCCCCCGCCTCCCCTCACCCGCGGGCCCCGCAGCCGCCGCAGCAGCGCGTCCTCGTCGGCCTCCGCGTCGCCGAACACCAGCTCCTCCAGGCACCGCTCCACGCCCGGCTCGTCCTCCTCCAGCGTGAGGCGGTTCCGCTGCCGGAGCCGCTTCTCCTCCGCCACCGCCGCCGCGACGGCGACTGCAGCGGTCGCGGCGCTCGGCCCGGCCGGGGCTTTCCGCGGGGATGAAGGAGCGGCCTTGCGGGGCGGCCCGCGCGGCCCCTCGCCGGCTCTCGGCTCCGGCCGCTTCCGGACCTTCCGCTCCGGCTTCGCGCCGGGCCCGCGACCCGCTTTCGTTCGGCTTCTCCGCTCGGGCGGCATCGCGCGGACTTGGAAGAGCGACGCGGGCGCTCACCTGGAGCCGCACGGCCCGGCCGCACGTGACCAACCCCCGCGCCACACGTCACGCCCACGCCCCTCGGGCCACGCCCCCCGGGGGCGTTAATCCGGGACGACCGATCTTCCGGTCCAAGGGGAAGCGGCGAGACTGGAGTGGGGCAAACCTTCACCCACGCGACTTGGCCGTTGCGGCTCGACCGCTTTGTGTGCCAGGTTGGGGTGGTGCTGGGGGGACGTCTGCCGCTCCCCGACCCCAGGACCCCCCGCCGCTTCCTCCCCGGGCTCCCGGGCCTGCTTTGCCTCCACCCACCCCGTCCCACGCCCCCCTCCGCCTCCGGAGCAAACCCCCTCCCACGCCCCCGCCAGCCGTTAAGCAATTCAGGGGGTCCCCTCCCCCCCTCTGCTCTCCTCCTCCCCCACCACCACCGACTCATGGGGTTCTCTCTGCCCCCGCTCGGCTCGCGGGAAGGAACCTCGGAGAAGAAAGTTTCTCTCCGCGTCCGCTGCCCACCCCACCCCCACGGGTGGCCCCCTCGCACCTAGCCGCCCCCGGGGTGCCGGAGCCAGACGGCCCCCGAGCCCGGGTGGGGGGGTGCCGCGGGGTCAGCGGGCGGGGGGGGGGGCGCGCTCGCAGAGCTGCACGTGGAGGTGGCCCTCGGGGAAAGGGGGCACGTGGGGGCGCCAGCGCGGGCTGGGAACGCGGGGCCCTGACGTTGCAGGGGCGCGGGAGGGAGGCCGTGGAGGTCACCCCCAGCCGCCGGCCCCGTCCTCGGCCGCCCCTGCCGAGGGGTAGGTCGCCCGGCCGCGGCTCCCGGCTGGCGCTTCTCGAATCTTCTCTCACATCGTCCTCGGCTCCCCCACCCACCTCTACCCCCTCTCCCGTCCCCCCCCCCACTCGGTGGCCTCCATTTGGGGTGTGCCAAGAAGGAAGGGCAGGGGAGAGGGAGGAGCCGCTGGAAACTTTAGCGGGGTCGCGCACCCCTCCCTTGTGCGGGGGTGGGGGGGGCGGCTGGGAAAGGACCGCGTGGGGAGGGGGCTTGCAGGGGTGGGGGTGTCCCTGATCCAGTTGTTTGTTTCGGGGTGGGGGATTGTTTGTTGGTGCCCTGTGAAAGTTGAGCAGCATCTCTAAGACTTATCGCGTCCCGAGGCACATTTGCTTGTTGCCTCCATCCTCTCCCTGGGGATGCCTGATTGCCCCCTGGGGAGTCCCCAGGTTAGCAAGAGAGGGCTGATGGGAAGGGCCCCCCACAAACTCGCCCTTGTCTCTGCGTGGGGAGGCGGGGGAGGGTCTTCTCCGAGTTGTTTGCCCTCTCCGAGGCCCCTCTCCTTATTTTTCTCCTTGCAACTCTCCTACGAGGTTTGGAAGCATCCTTTCCTGGGGTTGCCCTCTAAATTGGCCCGAGTCCTCACCTATATACACCACCCGGTGACTCTAGTTCAGTGTCTGCTCCTGTTCTTTGAACGTTTTCCCAAGGCTCCCGTTGTCGCCCGGTGAACACGCTGCCCCTGAAAGTAGGGTCACTGACACAAGAATTTAGGGGGCGCATGCTTTCCTCTTCCTGGTGTTAAGTGTGAAGATTAACAGATACCCTTAAGATGTGGTTAATGTGGGCTAGAAGCTCGGAGACGCAAGCTCCACCTGAAACTCTCAGTCCCTTAGATAAGGTTAGGTAGAGCACCTGCTTCCCACCTTCTATGATTTAGAGACTTTGTGCCCGCTCCGGCGTTCTTAGGCTGTACTCTGCTGCCCCCCACCCCACCCCGTTTGTTTACCTCAGTGCCAAAAAGTGTTTAGAAAGAAAATAGCTGCCTTTTACTTTTTTCACCACCTCCTGTGAATAACAAGTAGCTTCTATTTATATAGAATCCCATACTCAAGTCTTCTGGGTGCCTTTTCAGTTATGGCCAAAATGATCTTCAGTAACTATTCATAAGCATCATATTGCCATGTTTTTAAGCTGCAATTTTCATTTTAGATAAACTTTGATATCCACTATTCTAAGTATAGCCATTTTTCGCTTAAATTTGGAAATGAGTACAAGATAATGAAAAAAAATTAATTGGGCTGTCTTATTCTTCCTTTGGCATTTGAATAAATGTGCAGTTTCCAGTCATTTTCCTGCTTGCTTCAAATTTGAACTGCCATGACTGACTTTGCAGACATTTGCATTCTAAACATACTAGACAGGAACAACTGGTTTTTATTTTTAAAGAAGACGCGGCTATATTTTTAATGACTGGTTTTGAGTTGGCCTGATTAGTGTCTAAACTGCTGTTCAGAAGCTCTTAGTCCCTTAATTACATTGGGAATTAAGCCATCTTACATGTGTATAAAAGTCAAAAGAAAAATGAAACAATAGCTTAAAGTTAAATTGTAGTATTGTCATAAATACTAAACCACTGAATTACCAAACTCCAACATTGCTCAGTGGTTTGAGTGACCACGTTCTAAAAATACACTAGTCTCTTCTGGTTGCTCCTTATTTTTCAATTTTTCATCTTGAAAATGTTCACAGTAGGAGACTCTCTCTTCACATACACAATTTTAAGATTAGCCAGTTAAAATGTATCATTAGCCACAGGGTCTCAAATATGAGAGAGAGGGATGGTGTTTCTTGTTTTTGTTTTTTTAAGTACAATAAAAAAGAAAGAACTTCCAATAGTTTCGACAAGCTACTCCTGATACCAGTGTCTCTTTTTCTCTCTTTATTTTGTTGCTACTGCTGTTACTGTTATGGGAATCTGCACAGGCCAACCTGAGGGCCTTGCTATGCCAGAGATCACACCCATGGCCTTGCACAGACATGTGTTCTGTCACCTGATCCACATCCCTGGTCCCATACCCCTGTGTTTTTAACTAAGATTAGTTACAGTTTGTATGGAGATTGTCAATTGGTCCAGATTTTTTTGAATTTCAATATTGGGACAGACCAGGCAGTTGAGGGAGATCATGCAGTATGAGAGATTGAGTCCTCCTCCGGTTTGCAAAGCATGCATACTAACCCATTGAGTTATCTCCACAGCCTGGTCTAGAGCTTTTAAAATAATCTTTCTGTAAACCTTCTGAGTGTTTTTCCCCTAGTTAGGATTTCTCTCCATTTTTCTGGAACCCCTAAGAAAGGATGGAAAGGAAGTTGACCCCATTTGAACTTACCCTAATTTGAGATAGGAAGAAGAAACGTTGGCAAAAGGTTAAGTCTTAGTTCTGCCATTAACTAACTATATGGCACTTGTTTGATAAGATCTTTCCCCTAATTTCTTTTTTGTTGTTATTGATGTCATCTTTTTCTTTTCCCACATTTCTCATCCTCAGAGCCAAGGGTTGAATTCTTTTTTCCAAAGAACTTTCTGCGATGATGGAAAGGTCCTGTATCCGTGCTGGCCACTAACCACTAGCCTTGCAAGGCCGCTGCACTCTTAAAAAGGTAGCTAATATGGTGGAGGAGTCTAGTGTTTTACTTTATGTTTTCAGCTTTGTAAATTAGCCACCTGTCTGTCACGTTGAACGTATTGAGATAGAAAATGGTTTTTTAAGCTTAGTCACTGAACTCACTTCTTAGGGCTCTTACTCAAATCCTCTTTCCTGTAGGTTATGCAGCACGTCTACCTGCATAGACTCTAGGGAATTTTTATGTTTTAAAAAATGGGTGCCCCAGAAAGCGTATTTTTATCAGAACAAATGGCTAGGGGGACACTGAGATTTCTGAACTCCCTTCGAGTTTTCACTTCAGCAGCTTGGAATTCAGTATAGTAGAAGAGAGCTATGGACAAAGCTGGCAAACAGGCTAGACTTCTAGCTCTGCCACCTCCTGACATGTGATCTTAGGCAAGTTGCCTAATCCCTTGCAGCTTTATTTTCATCTAATAATGTACCAACCATCAGTTCTGCCTTCCCTCCTCTCAAGAGTTTCTATAACCTATCAGATGTGGTGACTAGAATGTAGAAAATTCAAAGGACCCAAGAATGTAGCTCAGACATAGAGTGTTAGATACTTTGCATTTGTGGCTTGGATTTGCTCCTTGGGAACCTCAGAACGCCACAAAGTGAGCTGCTATGAACAATTATGAACATAATCTCCTTGGAACCCTTTTTATCTTTTAATTTATCATTATATTATCTAATATCTACCTACAGAACTGAATAGTTAACATTTTTTTCAGAGTATACACAATTTTCACTAAGTGACTTTTGTAATTTCTTGTGTTTCCATCTATCTTTGCAATCTTGATGTAGGACATGGGTATCGGTGTTTTAATTTTTAACTTACCGTGATTTACGTGTCTGTTGATAATAGCATTTTGGGCATTTGGCAGGAATTTTGTTGTTTGGTTTAGGGGACATATCCAGCAGTAAGTCCAGCGGTGCTCAGGACTTACTCCTGGTTCTCTGCTCAGGGATCACTCCAACAGTACTCGGGTGCCTGTGGTGCAGGGATTGAACTTGGGTCATCTGTGTCAAGGCAAGTGCATTACCTGCTGTGCTCTCTCTCCACCTAGTTTCCAGCATTTGGGGTATGGCTCAGCAGTAAAGCATCTACCTTCCACAAATGAGATTTTGAATTTAAACCCAGTACACGAGAGAAAGAATTTGCCAGTTTTCAAAACCCATCACCAGCATCCATGTCCCTCCAATGACCCAAGTTTCTTTTTTTTTTTAATTTGGTGCTGTGCATGATGATGTATATATTGATAATATTCAAAAATGTCATTTTTTTACTTTGAGATAATCAAAACTTTAGACAATTCCACATTGTTTAGAATGCCAGAGACATAGTCCAGTACATGCTTGTTTTACTGTTTCATTAATATTTTGAGCTATTCTCTCATTACATAGCTTTTGAACAACCAATGACATAAATATTTTTAAAGGTAGAGTCAACATTTTACAGTAGACCTGGAGCTTTATATTAGCTCTCCGTGACACTTGGTGACCTATTTGACTTATCTTCACTCTATTACCACAAATTCAACTGCTCAGACTGATTGACAGTATAGTCCCAGCATAGCTTGTATTCTCAAATTTGGTATAGAATTGATACTGATAATGATCTTAAAGACCCTGTAGGCTACTTGTTTCTGACTTTATTTTGACATGATCATCTTATTTTTAATTAGCTTTTCAGGTTCATACTTAAGGATTTCTAGTTTTCTTCTGCAGAACAGAAAGCCCACTCATGTGAATTATTTTATTTTATCATACATCCTTCCTGTATGGTAAGTGGCATTTTCCTTATTTGGAAGAGAAGGACACTGAGCACACAGTAGTGGTTACATTCAGAATTATAAGTGATAGGACCAAAAATTGATCCCAGAGAAGTAGAAAAAATAAGGAAAGGGGGGTTGAGAGGGTTTGGGGCATACCCAGCTATGGTAAGACTTACTCCTGATTCTGTGCTCAGGGATCATTCCTGGTGGTGCTGGGGGACCGTAGGTATTGAATAAGGGTCAGCCACATTCAAGGCAAGCACCTTACCCCTTGTACTATCACTCCAGCTCCAGAAGTAAAAATTTTTAGTATTTGTCGTAGATTGGAGACTGCTTCTAAGTCAGAGAGAGAGAATGCTTAATGTACTGGAGCACATGCCTTGCATGTAGGAGACCTGAGTTTTGTGCCCTTCGTGACCTGATGCTTGGTCCCCCAGCACTGAGCAACCCTAACTTTACATTAGCTAGAATACTGTCCTAGCGTTCCCTTCAGTGTTTCATGTTCTCTAGTCAGTTATGCAGGTTACTGCCTTTTGTTTTTTTCTTGATTGAATCACTGGCTTGAATTTATTGTTTGTTTCACATTGAGTTTGTAGAAAACAAAAACCCAGTAATCCCAAATATTTACATTACTCCTTTCTATATTCTTATAGAAAGAATAAAGGCTTTTCTGTTTAGGCCAGTGAATTGCATCGCTGTGCCAGACTCTGCTTTCCATCCAGATGGAATAAGAAGAGATCAGTGAGAGGTAAAGAGCTCTTGAACTCCTACTGAGCCCGATCATCAGAGATAATCGATTTGGGGTTTTTGTTTGTGTTTAAGTTTTTGGCTTTGGGGCCACACAACAGTTGCTCAAGGATTATTCCTGGGGGTTGCTTGTAGCAATGACCAGAGACCCTGCAGTGCTGGGGATCGAATATCCGACCCATTGAACTAGCTCTCCAGCCCAGAGTATTAAAATTTGTGAGCTCAGTGTCTCATGACTTTCAGATTCAAGATTTTAGAATACTTATATTCCATGCTTAAATAATGAAACTTTGAAAACAACATAGGCTATTGCACTGTATTGACTTGGATGATGAGTTGTTTGATCTCTTTTGCCAGGGAGCAGGGGATTGGGTTTCAGGGCCAAACCGACTTGGTGCTCAGAGTTTTCAGCAGTTACCTGAGACTGGGCCGGGGGGGGGGGGGGGGGGGGGGGGTGTTGGGAAGTGGAGGGGAGCAGGGGAGGGATAGGGGCCAGAGGAGCATCTGTGGCCTAGACTGGGCGCAGGCCTCCTGCAATGAGAAAGGCTGCAGCTATTTGAGCTCTCCTCCAGCCCAGAGGTAGTTATGTTCTGATGAGTTTATGTTGAAATTACACTGTTAACTACTTGTTTGCTTATTTATATGTGCTTACATTTAGAGTTTATGATATCTTGTATAAAGTTTCTTCTAGAAAAGTTTCAGTTTATCGGGGGTATGGTGCCGCCAGCAGGTCAATCTGTACCTGTGAGACGAGTGCATCAGCAGCCTCATGGCGCCTTCAGACTTCCAGATACCCCCAAATTGCTGCTGTGCCTTTGGCCAGACCCCAAAAACTTGGGGCAAAGTTTACCAAGAAAGTAAACGGCCAAAAGTTAGGTATGTGGGAAACACACCCACAAACCACCTCCGGCTCAGCTATATAATTGGAGGCAAGGCCTCTTTGGTTCCTGATTGAACTGCTTAATGGACATCATCCCAGAGACTCAGAAACAAATCTCAGAACCCAGTGGCTTTAGGTAGAAATGCGTCTGGTCTCTGCAGTAGGCTACTGGTGCTGGGCCAACCCAGGTGGGAATAGGTTTCGTGCCTTGGCCTGTTCCCCCTGGTGGCCCAGTGGCCACCATCTGTCTGAGGATACTGGATAGTCACATTTGGGCCCCCAGAGACGAGATACACAGGGCCTCATGGGATGAGGGTGGAGCCGGGCTTGTCCTCCCCACCCCAACGAGACCCCAAGTCATCACCCACAAATGACCTCTCTGGCTCCTGATCAAGCTGCTTAACGGCCATGATCCCAGAGACTCAGAAACAAATCTCAAAACCCAGTGGCGTTTGGCAGAAATGCATCCGGACTCCACAGTATGTTACTGTCGCTGGGCCACCCCAGGGAGGAAAGGGTGTTGTCCCTCCGCCTGCTCCCTCTTGGCAACTTGGTGGCTGTCATCCTCCAGAGGCCATTGGACAGTCAGGCTTGGGCCCGCAGTGACGAAACTTGTTGGGTCTCACGGGATGGCGGGGGGAGGTGGAGCCAGGCCTCTCTGGCTCCTCATCAAGCTGCTCAACGGCCATGATCCCAGAGACTCAGAAAGAAATCTCGAAACCCAGCGGCTCTTGTCAGAAATGTGTCCAGACCCCGCAGTAGGTTACTGTTGCCGGGCCACCCCAGGGGGGAATGGGTGCTGTCCCTCCGTCTGCTCCCTCTTATACCACATACCAAAGAGTTAGTCTTTTCACTGGGATTTAAACACATGGATGAGCGAATATACACTGTAGGATAGCACTCTTTGGTCCTTCCTCAGGTAGCTTAGGTTTATCGGGTCACACCCATCTAAGGACACTGAATTTGTATTGTAAGCAATGTCCTTTCTGTGTGGACACAGGAAGAAAGTTAATATTATGCTTTGTAACTTGGGAGTTGATTGACTCCGAATAATATTTACTCCTGGGCATCTGATTTCTTGACTCAGTTGCCCTTAGTTCCTAGCACCCCAAAAGCAGGGTCCCGACGAGAGACTGAATGGACCCAGGGCAAGCTGTGAGCTACCCTGGCATCGAAATGGGCCAGGCCAAAGAGCCACGATACTCAACTATAAGTTGAGGGCATGATCATGGACAAATGCTGTCATGATCCAAAAGTAAGTAACGACGAGACTAGGACCCTGCGGGAGCTAGGAAGATTAACCTGGCCTGAGGACTGCGGAATGTATAGTGAGATGTTCTCAGGAAGAACCAAACTAAATTTATATCTCTTACTGTGCTCATACAGAATGACATTGCTAGAAATATTAGAAGTAGATTTATTACAACTATTTAAGTAGATTACTATCTGAGGGAAGAACACACCCTTGTTGGGATCCCACTCTTGAGCGGATCTCCTAGTAATCTGAAGTAATCTCTATAGATGAGATTTTATCCTTGAATTAATCTCCTGGAGGAGTGGTCTTACCTCTCTTTGTTGATTCTTCAGTATTCAACCCACCTTTATGTCACCGTCTTATGTGACTGCTATATAAACTAAGACGTAAGCTCAGAGAGAGAGTCAGAAGCAAGAGAGCTCGGGCTGCAGAGATCCAGAGTCAGAGCCAGAAGGAGAGAGGTTCCAAGATTGGGGCCCAGGAGAGAAGGAGGCAGAGAAAGACAGGAGTGAAGAGGATTGGAATAAACTACCATTGATATAGACCGGCCTGGCCCTCGTTTCTTCTTCCGTCTGCCCTTGGCCAACAGCCATTCTGATCCAGCCACACACAGCGACTCAAGAGCACTGAACGCAGGCGATGAGACAGTGCCATCCAGTGAGCCCGTGAACACACAACCTTCGGCGAGATAAGATTTTACAATACACGAAACATTATGAGATATACATGGAACTAGGGGGGTTGGAGGAACCAGTCTCATTCCTCTTCCAGCAGGCTTTGAGTTCTTGCCTTGCACATTACTGGTCTCTTAGATCAATCACAGAGGCACACATTCATGAACAACCCAGACAGCGTAATACGTCTGGAAACAGATTTGGAAAAATAGGGGAAAGAGGGAAAGGGGAGGACTTTGAATTGATCTCCAGGAAACACCAGCACTGAAAAAAAGCAAGTGGGAAAAAGATGAAGGATCTGGAATAGACCTTACGAAGTAGCGACCAGGAAAACAAAACCAGAAAACCTATATATGCTGTTTAGGAGCCAGGAGCAGAGAGTAAGAATGTGCATAAACAAGGGAAGAGAGAATCATAGGAGAGGTGGCGCAGAGAGGTTCACTGAAGTGTATTGATTTTTGAAAATTGGTACATCACAATTTTATGAACTTAGCACAGAGGGTAGGGCATTTGCCTTGCACGTGGCCGACCCGGCCGACCCGAGTTCGATTCCTCCACCTTCGATTCCTCTGCCCCACTCGGAGAGCCCAGCAAGCTACTGAGAGTATCTCGCTTGGAAAGCTACCTGTGACGTATTCGATTTGCCAAACACAGTAACAAGTCTCACAGTGTTACTGGGCTCCCTTGAGCAAATCGATGAACAATGGGAGGACTGTGACAGTGACAGTGATATAACCAATGCATTGACATTTAAAAATCATGACAAAATACATCAAATTTGTTTGATGTTGTTTGAATTGTTTGATGTTTGATGTATTTATTGTTGAGTTTTATTTTGTTCTCTTTTTTCCATAATCTTGTATGTACTTGTGTCATTTGAATAATTATGAAGGTACACTTAATAACAAAAGAATCATGAGTGTGAATAGCTCAAATAAGTCTAAGATCAAAGGCTAGCTACATAGGTGTGGCAGAGAGAGAAGATGCACAAAAGTTTGATCAGATGTTGAACTAAGCTATTGAATCTTATGATGGAATTTGGAATGATTTATTTCCTTTCAAACCATATGCTCTTAGTGCTCTTTTAATTACAGTGTTAATAAATAATAATTATAGTCAGGCAATGTTTCAACACTTCCTAAATACTTTAACTATGTATTTCACTATGACTTTTGTTCTGTGGGTCCGGGTCTCAGAAAGCACAATGAAGACCTGGGTTCTTTTTGACTTTGTGGTTGACTACACTTCTAGTCACCTTAATGCAGTGTCCCCTCTGTAGTAGGAATGTATGCCCTGTATCCCTAATAATTTTGGTCAAGCGACTTCTTTGGCTACCAAAAAAACAGCAAAAATGGCAAGAGCTGTCTCTGGGATAGGAACTTGAAGAGTCAACATATATCCAACAAACTTGTTTTTCTTGCCTACCATTGTAACTCACAGGAGACCAAAGAGGGGCTGCTCAGAGAACCAGAGTCCCAGAGAGCAGACAACAATGACATGAAGGAAGCCCTTATCCAACCTATAATGGAGGAATATGTAAGCAAACAAGCAGTGTAGAGACTTGAGAGATAGTACAGTGGGTAAGGCGCTTGCCTTTCATGTTGCTGACCCAGATTTAATCTCCAGCAGTCCAGGAGTGATTACTGAGTATAGAGCCAGGAGTACCCCTGAGCATCATAATGTGGCCTAAAAACAAAAGGAAAGAAAGAGACAGAGACAGAGAGAGAGAGAGAGAGAAGAAGGAAGGAAGGAAGGAAGGAAGGAAAGGAAGGAAGGAAGGAAGGAAGGAAGGAAGGAAGGAAGGAAGGAAGGAAGAGAGTTTTGTTGAAACAATGGAAATTGAGGGTACTAGTTGTTAATACAACCAGATTTCAGTCTTCTGAAATCTGAAAAGGGGAAAAAATAAACAACACTAACATTTTCTCAAGAAATATAATTTTTTACTCTTATTTTTTCTCCAGATGATGCCTATTTACTACAGGGACTTAATATAGAGGAACTATACTCAGAGACCTCTAGTTTCATTACTTATGATGGGTCGATAACTATCCCACCTTGCTATGAGACAGCCAGTTGGATAATAATGAACAAGCCTGTCTATATAACCAGGATGCAGGTGAGTCTGTCTGCCCTTTTAGCTGATTGGGGAAGATAATATGTAGAATGGAATGGTTTGTGTATTCCCTGGTATATTCTTTTGCCAGGTCTGTTCTGTGTTAGGTAGCATGGATTGGAAAAAAATATATGGCCTCACAGTTCTTAAGAGTCTAATTCAAGGTCATCAGGGATGGATCCTTCTCAGGAAGGTTAAGAAGAATCTCTTCCAGTTTTTTGGACTTTTCCTGACAATCTTTGGTATTTACTAGCTTGTCAAAGTTTTGCTCCATTCTGCCTCCATCTTTGCATGGTGTTCTGCATGTCTCTGGCCAAATCCCCACTTGCATTTGGACACCAGTCATCTTGGATTAGCACCCAACAGACTCCAACAAACTCCTCTTAACTAACTCCTTCGAAACAGGACCCTGACCCCAAATAAGATTTCCCCTAATGTACAAGGTTTAGGACTTAAGTGTATTCACTGGGGTCATGAGGTGGTGGTGGTGGGGGAAAGGGTAGTTACAATTCAGATCATCATATGTATGTTTAAAGAAGCAACATCTGAAAAATTTGAGCATAAAGTAATTTTAGAAGCCTCCCACCTGCCTGAGTAAGACAAGCAAGCCTAGTTACCCAAGCATGTTCCATGTTCAAAAGCAAGTCAGTGAAATGGATGCTAGAGAGAAATATGTTTGAATAGACTGGTTTTTGTTCTCTATTAAAAGGTAAATATATTTCAGAACCAGGGCAATAATTGTACATTTGCCTCATGTTCTCCTCAACTAGAGCATCTTCACTGCTTTATAATCCTGGGGTGGGACTCACCTAGCTCCTGGCCTGATGTGCTCAGGAAAAGAATTAGATTCATCTAAGTTAGCTACTCTGACCCTTGGATCAATCACTCTAGCTTGGATAATGCCCATGCAGGAGAATAATACTATGAGTTATTGGGGATGACTGAACCTGACTATCAATAAAAGATGAGATCTAGGGGAATACCTCTCTATATTTCCTCCTTTGGTGGATGGTATGTTTGAGGACGAAAGAGCAATTGGAGAATTCAGAGATGAACGTGACAAAAAGGTTTACTCTATGTATAGGGGCATGAGATTTCTAGCACCATTGAACCCACAAAACAAGGGTCTCAGGATAGGGTAGGGAGGTGAACTTGTGCACCCTTTTCCACAGCCAACAATCTGGCTTGGGTACAGTCAATGTGGTCTTATTCCTTCCGTAGAGCTTGTAGGAGGTGGAAGTGTTTCTCACAACTGTTTCTCTCTCATTAGATGCATTCCTTGCGCCTGCTCAGCCAGAATCAGCCATCTCAGATCTTTCTGAGCATGAGTGACAACTTCAGGCCTGTCCAACCACTCAACAACCGCTGCATTCGCACCAACATCAACTTCAGTTTACAGGGGAAGGACTGTCCAAACAACGGAGCCCAGAAACTTCAGTCTAGAGGTGAGTGCAGAGGGCCAGAGACCAATGCGCTAGGTCAGAGTTCTACCTCCCTGCTTAGATCCATTCTAATGCCTGGCATTATCTATCAGGCATTGAAAAGTGATTATAGATGACAGTAAAACTATTACCTTCCATTGTGTATGGCTTTTCTGTGATCCAACCTTTATAACATCTATGAGAAGGACAGGGACAGGAAGAAGGAAAGAAATGGAATAGAGTCAAGCCTTTCAATTCCTTTTGTTCAAACAAGACAGACTTTTGATCACCATACCATGTTGCAGGAGAGGTTAGAAGGGCTCATTTTTCAAGGTGTTATCTGGTAGAACAGAATGGCTTCGACTATTCGAGTCTTTAGTTATATACACAATGGACCTCTTTTCCACGAAAGAGTGAGTAACTATTCCAGGTGCCAGGACTTTGGAATCTGTGTATCTAAAAGATTTTCTTCTTCTATTAAGGTGGATATTTAAGATGATTTCCATCTCTTATCATTTTGCCATCCATACCCAACCCTCTCTCTTCCCTTCCACACTCTTAAGTATTGGTTGATCACTGCAATAAGACCTCCAGGACATGTCCTGGAGCAACCTATGCCCTGGAGGCAGAATACCCAAATCCCAGACCTGGATCTGTCCTTAACAAGGAAGAAAACACAACTAAGTCATTTTCTCACTGAAGTTGCTTCTCTTTGACAGATGCTAGCCAATCTTCACAATCTTTCTTGCTGTGGAGAAACCCTTTGTAGCAATAATATGCTACACAAATAAGGGGGCTGCAGATGTTACCCACCCCTTTTACCAAGTACCTTCCCTGTTGCCCCTTGGTCCCCTCATCATCCCTCCTGGTGTTCTTGTATTTCTTCTTTCTTGTTTCTCAGATTCAGAGTTCTATAGCTTTTCTGCTTCCTTCCAGTTTGCACCACCAAATAAAAAATCCAACATATATATTGTCCTCTTCATTAAGTACCTATTTATTACATACTTGCAATGTACTGGGCACTTAGCTATGTGATGAGATTCAGTGGTGATGAAGACAGTTATGAAGACCCCATCAATATAGGGCTTATAGTCTACATTAGGCTTTGGTAAACTTTTTTCTGTAAAGCTAGTGAGTATTGGTGGCTTTATGAGTCATAGAGTCTCTGCCATAATCCACTACAATGTGAAAGCCCCCACAAATTATCTGTAAATAAATGAGTGTGGCCCTGTTCCAATAAAGTTTTATTCATAAAAATAGGTAGGGGGAAGGGTTTGGCTGGTGGAATGCTTACCCTGGACTGGCATAATGCCACCCACTTGAACTTTTACAAGAGTGGAAATGTTCTGTAGATATGTTAAGGCAGCTACAAGCCCCATGTGGCTATTACACCTTGGCAAGTAAAATATGGCAAGTATAAAGTATGGAAGTACAACGATACAACTAAATTTTAATTAATTTAAATAACATTTACAGAACTGTCCTTTCCCCTTTGGAGAAACCTCCAAACAAGATGCAGATTTACTCGATTATTTTGTGTAATGCCTCATTTTGCATTGTTTGTATTATTTTTTCCTCTCTCTCTCTCTTTCCAGTAAATGAATGGCTCCTCAAGTAAGGAACTAAGCCAAGAAGAATCCCACCTCAGTGAAATGCTACAACTGTGAATTCACGTAACCTAGAATGTCCCCCTTCTCTTTCCTTCCTTCCCTCAAACCTCTTTCACTCTCTGGACTGGCCCTTTCTTCATGAAAAGTCTACAAAACCATGGCAGAGGAACATATCTCTTACAGACAGATGCACATGGTGCACATGCACGCAAACACACACACACATACACACACACAAGCACTCAGACATATGTACACACATGAAAACATACCTTCAGAAAGACAAATGCACACAGCCTCCAAGGGCAGTCAAGTTTCAGAAACAACAGGCTTATTCCTCAGAGGTCTTAGAAGAAAATAACCAGTTAGCCTGATTACAATTTTGATACCGTTTTCCTGAACTAATTTATTCAATGAGACTTTTCATCTTTGTACATACAAAATTCTTCCAAATGAGAGAGGAGAAACCACTGATCCCCTGACAGCATCGAGTGGACTTTATTCTCTGTATCAAGTAATCTCAGAGAGGGTCTTCGGGTCCTTCCAGGGTGCTGGTGACTAGTGAACCAGGATAAGGTTGATCAAGGATGCTTATTTCTAGATTATGATTCTTCTGTTTACTCAACAATTTAAAAAGAAGAAAAAAAGGACAGACATTGAAGAGATACACATTGTATATATCTATCACCGCAAACTATCAAGAAATGGAATTATTTCCCCTCTGTCTCATATCTGTAGTAGGATTTGCCAAGATCAGAATTGATCCATTTGCTGTTTCTTGTTTTTCAAAGGCCATTCATTGTGTTTGGTTATTGTTCACCACTCAATAAATGTGTTTAACGAGTTCATTTCATTTTTCTGGCTTTGGTCTGTTCTCCTTCCTGATAGGCATAGCCCTGGCTCCATGCACCTGCATTCTTTGATTTCACTCATCCTTCATCTATCTGTTTTGTTCCTTTGCAGCCAGTTTTGACTGAGTTTGTGGCAATCAGGAATGCATTTGCTAGGCAAGTATAACTTTAATTCCACTCCATGGCTCGATTATCCATATGAGGTGAGCTTCAGCCTGACATAGTAGGCAACCGATTTCTTGCGTTTCAAAAACTGCCATCCAGCCCCCACCCCTGTGATGCTCCCTTGAAGGAATGCACTTTGCCTTGTCAGTTCCTGGAAAAAGGGGTGTCTTTTCTCTCCAGCTGCAGCTGGATCCCACAAAGTACAAACGAATGCCTTTCTTTTCTTGTTTCTAATGGTCACTCACTGTGTTTGGTTACTGTCAAGAAATCAATAAATGTGTTTAACAAGTTACCCAGAACCCATGTCTGAGTTTATTAAGGAGGAGGATGCCTCTGAGTCCTGCTGTGTCCACAGGCAATTGCATTACATCCAACAGCCCGTCTGGCCATTCACAGAGCCAGGTAATTAATACCCTGTTGAGAAAATGTATAGGCTTAGCTGCTGGAAGGGAAGGCTTGGATGGTCAGTCAGTGGCCAGATTAATATTAGCATGCATCTCTCCTTTCTGTCACAAGCTCTAGAAAGAGGAAAGTCCCCAGCATGTAAGGGCCATGCAGATGGGACCCCTCACCAGTCAAGTATACTGACAATTAAAAACAAACTGCGAGATATCTCATATTTGAAATAATATACTTAATTAAATTATTCTATTTTGCTTTCTACACCAAAGTTACTTACAAGAGGCCTTGCCCCTGATGATATATAAGCCTGTTCCTGAACTACTGAATGTTTCCAGAAAACCCAATATGTTTGCAAAGGTTTGGGGCGGTCAGCTGGCAGTGTTACAGTGGGTGACTTTCTGTTTCCTCTCTGAGGACCCCCTTTATTCTGCAAGGGCAGATGGTGATACAGTATTAGGGTTGAAGAATGTTGATGGTAAAGAAGACACACTTGGTTTTAATATTTTAGTCTTTTCTCTGCCACTTGCCTACCTTCTATGCAACCCAGGGCAAGGTGTACTCTTCTTATTTGTACCCTGGGAAAGCTAATGACTACCTCCATAAGGTGTAATATATGATGACTCCACTATATAATGACAGCTGCAACAGTGCTTGCAATGGTCTGTAATGGTGCCTTTAGACAATGTGTGCAGCCAAATGGAGGGTCATCTAGTCTACCCCATTCCTCCCTCTTCAGGAAGGGCCTAGGACCAATCCCAACAGGGCATCAAATAATCAGAAGTGATTGTGTGTGTGTGTGTGTGTGTGTGTGTGTGTGTGTGTGTGTGTTGCTGGGGATTGAACTTGAGGCCTCACATGTACAAGGGTGGTGCTTTACTGCTGAACTACATTCTCGGCCCCTTAAAATAAATTTCAAACTAAAGCAATAGATGCCCAGGAGACAGTATAGATTTAAAAACCCAAAGTGTATCATGGTAGGGATGAAGGAAGGCAGTGAGCTAAGATTCTGGCTCTCTTCTGTTACTTGCATTTTCTACAACTTTGAGCAAGTTAGCCTGAATCTGATGGGATAGTATAAGAACACTAGAAATGACTTGGGTGGGCTGATTTCCTCCTGCCATTCAATCACCCCTAACTCTGTCTCCCATTCATTTATTAGCCCTGGTAGAAGAGTAGAACCCCAACTTGTCCCCACTCGGGTCCTTGGCAAAAGCAAAATTTCACTCTGGCCCAATAGATCTCAAAGTGGAGTGACCCAGCCTTCTTTCCCCCCTCTGGGTCAACCCTAGATGTTCTTTCTCCATAATCACCCTGCTTCACAAACTATAAAATGGAAATAAGGGCAGTTTGTCCTCAATCCATGAGAATGTGCTCCAGATCAGTTGTCTGAGTACCTTCTGGGAGGTGAGAGTAAGGGTTGGGGGGGGGGTCACAGGGTGGTGTGGGGGAGGCGTTGTAGACAGAAAAAAGTTTTCAAAGCACCTAAAGTTAGCCTGGCAAAGCCATATAGAAGAGAACACCCCTCCATCCCAAGACCATGGTGTCTGCTCTGTATGTAGCTGGCTGGTTGTGTCCACCAGAGCCCAGGCTTCCGTGAGCTCCCCATTCCCCTGGGGAAAGTAACTTGAGCACACTAACAAACTATAGCAATGTGAAGGACCATGTTCTTGCTTATCAAAGGGCCATCTAAGAGGATGACACTTGGCAATGTCAATCTAGAGGAGCCCTGAGGCCAGTTTGATTCCCTCTTCAGAATCACATCCCTGTCCCTGCATGTAGGAACTATTCTGGATGGTCTCAAATTTGTCCCCAGCCCCCTTACCCACACCCCCCATCAATAACCAGAGTTCTAATAACAAATTTCCCTTCTTGGAAATGAAAAATAAAAGTATTTATATGGAAAAAAAGAGCTTGCACCAACCTTCCAGAACACAGTTACCCTCATTGCTCCTTATTACTCAGACAGATATTTCAAAGACTACAGGTCATTGGGAATAAATGAAAATAAGCTGCAAATCAGGAGACCTGAAGTGTGGAAAGCCAGTTGAGGTCCATATCTAAAAGTTGGGAGCAAATGATAGCATAGAAGCTCTCAGTTCACACTGTCCCCTCCCTGAAGTGCTCCCAGGCCACAGCTTCCTCCCCGCCATACTCCCAAATCCACATCTCCATTCCTGGCCACAGTATTTTCAGTCAAGACTCTAAGTCCTTCTGTCTCCAGTCTCCAGTCCCATGACAGACTCTGAATCAAAGGCACAAAAATACCCAAACCCTGCTCCCAATAAGGGGAATTTTATTTTGCACAGAAGCTGTGTAGAAAGTCTTTGATGGACTAAGGAAATAGGTGAATATAAACTGAGGCACCTTGTTGGGGGACGTAAAAATGCAAAACTCAAGAAAACTGCAAGGGACAGCCCTTCATGAAGATCTGAAGAAAAACAGATCATAGATGCAGAGAAGGAGATAGGAATGTCTGTACTGTAGCTAACGAGGCCTAGGAAGGCTCCCTGACAGCTCTTCATAGGAGGTCTGAAGCCTCACCTGCTGCCCAGGGTGAGGAGGAAGAAGTTGAGAGGCACATCCAAACCCATTTGTACCCATCACTAAGAGCAGTGAACCAAAACCTCCAACTGGAGCACATCACCTAAGATTCCAACTTCCAGTGATTCCGCCTGTTTTCTGGTTAAAAGTTCCAATTTCTTAGCAAGGCAAGCAAGTCCCTCCTTAATGAATTGTCAGCAGGGATCTGCAAACTCGGCTCAGCCTCTGGCCTCCATCCCTGGCATCCCTCAGCTCTTTTTCGGTCTTTCCTGATTGTGGAAATGCAACATACCTTTAAAGAAACCCAGTTCAAAGCACCCAGGCTTCCCTTATCTCCCTGGGGAGGAAATGAATTCTCTCTTGTACAGAATGCACACAATATATCAATTTCATCTCTGATTAACATTTACTTTATTGGGGTCAGTATACTATAACATAGAGAGGCATAGTTGTATTATACAGCCTCATTTACTTCTATATTCTCCTATCTGTACCTGCAAATATGACATTCTCAAAAAGAGTGAGAGGGAGAGAGAGAGAGGCCCTGGTAGCCGAGAACTGTCACATACTGGCCTAAGTCACTTCATTAGCTGGACACTAGGTACCTGAAATCCTAGCATCAACCTCACAGTGACATCTGTGGTGGGCCCTGGTGGGGGAAGCAGAACTAAATTGTGGTTCACTGCCATCAAAAAAACTTAAAAAATCTATATGGGGAAATGAATCAATGTTGCAATCTATAGGATTTAGGAATATTTACACTCTAGAGCACAATTGTTTTTAATCATCTTGTAGGCAAGCTGGGGGAGCATGGTGGTACAATCTGTCCACAGCAGAGGAATGCCCGGCTCAGAGGGTGACCCCGGACATTGTTCTGCTATCCATCCACTTGCAGGGAATGAAGGCCTTCTTTTAACACACTTATGCTACCTGAGGCCCCCAGGGTTGCAACTTTCAGAAAGAAGGAGATTCTGAAATGAAGAGCAACACCTTGATTGAAAAGCTCAGTGGGAGAGTTCCCGGAAGGAAGAGGGAGCTGAATTAGGCCTGCCAGGTAGCAGGATTGACATAGGTGGGAGGCAGGGCTGT